AAGACTGATGAAAATATAGGTTCCTAATGACCATAAGAAAAACGGAATAATATAAACTTATCCAAATAATAATCTAATCATCACAACCGCTAAACAAAATAACAATGGATTTCTTGACCCAGTGGCTCGGTGGGTAAAGTGTTACATGTTTACAACCAAAAATGCTGAGTTCAAGTATCATTAGAAAAGTCAATACTGGGTTACAGGTACTTACAACCGATGAGTCACAAATAGGATGAAATATTACCTGAATTACACTACCAGTCATAATCCACCTATTATATAATACTATAATATATGTTGAGAAGAAGACCGGCGTAGCAGCAGCCTCAGCAGCAGTAGGTCTCAATATAAACAAAGGGAAAAGCAAGATTCTCCGATACAACACAGCATGCACCAATTGAATCACACTTGACGGAGAAGCTTTGGAGGATGTGAAAACTTTTACATATCTGGGCAGCATCATCTGATTCAGATATGAAGGCACCGATCAGCAAAGCAAGAGCGGCATATTTACTACTGTAGAACATCTGGAACTCAAAACAATTGTCAACCAACACCAAGGTTAGAATTTTCAATATAAATGTTAGGATAGTTCTACTGTATGAGGCGGACACTTGGAGAACTACGAAAGCCCTTATCCAGACGACACAGGTGTTTATTAACAGTTGTCTACGCCAGATACTTCGGATCCGTTGGCCAGACACTATCAGCAGCGATCTACTGTGTGAGAGAAAAAACCAGATCTCGGCGGAGGAAGAAATCAGGAAGAAGCGCTGGAAGTGGATAGGATACACATTGAGGAAATCACTCAACTACATCACAAGACAAGCCCTCACAAGGAATCCTCAAGGCCAAAGGAGAAGAGGAAGACCAAAGAACACATTACGCCGAGAAATAGAAACGGACATGAGAAAAATGAACAAAAATTGGATAGAACTAGAAAGGCCCAGGATAGAGTGGGTTTGAGAATGCTGGTCGATGGCCTTTGCTCCATTGTGAGAAACAGGCGTAAGTAGTAGTAGTAATAGTAATAATAATAATAATAATAGTATTAGTATTAGTAGTAGTAGTAAGTATAATATAGGTTGTAATATCTGTAAGTTAATGAATTCTCAGAAATAAAATTTCATTGTTAAACCAGTGGTTGGTATGCTTAAAAAAGGCAAAAGAAAAAAATAAATCATAAGATGATACTAAAATAACTATTTAGTTTAAAGAAATTTTCAGTTTATAAATGACCTGATAACTTTAGGTAACATAAAAAAATAATGAGACCATAGTTTGTAAATAATTAAAATTATTTTACAACATTTCAGTCTAAAACATAATATAATTAATGATTAAAAGAAAGTAATGATTATAGTATGTTAGTTGATCAAAATAATATTTGAATGTTGGTATTTAAAAGAGAAAAACAAAAAATAATTAATTTATATAGAGAGAAATTAAGATATTGAATAAGATTATTAAGATGTAATCTAACTATCAGAAGGAGTTTTGTGGATGCGCATTGCTGAAGAGTCCCACAATAGGACGAAACGGCCGTCCAGTTCTTCCAGGTTTTCCATGGTGGTTTAGCTTTAATTGACTCATGATTTCAACTATGTAATCTAATTCTTAATAGTAAAATAATAATGTTTCTTAAAGTAAAAAAATATAGCCGTTTATTGTTTACATTTACCAGTAGTATTGAACAGAAAAGCTAATCTACGACTGTATATTGATGGTTAAAATGTATTCATAGAAATTTAAGCCAAGATACCAATTCATGAAACTGAAATGATTAGACATTAACACCGTTGGAAACCAGCTCAGTTGTCTATCGGTTAAGTGCTCTGGCGCGAGACTGGTATGTCCTGAGTTTGAATCTCGTGAGGCGGGATCGTGGATGCGCACTGCTTAGGAGTCCCACACTAGGACGAAACGGCCATCCAGTGCTTCCAGGTTTTCCATGGTAGTCTAGCTCCAATTGACTCATGATCTAAACAATATAAAATTACTAAAATCTCCACAAAACTTCCTTCTGATAATAAATAATAATACAGATTTTTAAAAGTTGATTAGTCAGATTAATCAATATTCAAGTAGGTATATTCAGCTGATGAGTATTTCTTACCTACTGTCAATTATTTTACTGATAGTAACTGATGGTGAAGATTGGATTTTAATTATACTGAGTGATTTTTATCAAAGTTTGTGAAAAAAGTATTATTCAAGGTATATAATATGAGGTTATTAATATTATGGTTGATCAATCCTTGTTGTATGCATGTAATATCACAACAGAAAGAAAAATTCCATGATTAACTATGAACTAAGTTGATTCATGTAATCATGGGTATGAATTGACTGATACAACTGATAACTATATTATAAAACTAATAATGACAGTCTGCCAAAAACGTTCATTACTGACTAGCGTAATAAAAGACTTTCATATTCTAAGGCTGGATATCACCAAATGGAGCTCTAACTTGATAGTAAAGAATATAGAAATTTTATTAGAAGAAAAAGCTTGAAGAGTCAATAATGATATAGCTTTAAATTGATCATAAATTAGTAACTGGATTAGTTTAAGTTCTAAAAATTTGCTAAATCCGAATATCTCAGTTGCATGTTTATTCTAAAGCACATTAAATCTTATTTAAATCAATTCATCTCTATTTTATGTTTTGTATTTCTCTGTGTCTTGTATTTCATATTTCTATAATTAAGATCATTGTTATAGTTGGATTTGAACATGTAGTATGTCATAGTAAAATCATCCACTTCAGTTACAAATCTTCTGCACTATAATTTATGGACGAACTAATCAGGAATAAGATAATAGGTCTTGGGTTTTGGCGCGAACTTCACTCATTCATTTGGAAAAATACCGATTTGTCATTATAGCCGACGTCCGTTCGTGATGAAAACATTAAATCCAATTCCTAACCTTAACCATCAACTGTAACTCATAATTCGAATTCCTCACGCTGGTTTATAGCTTTCATTTAGTCCTAGTTATTACATGGACACTCTCAAGGTTACTCTAGTGTTACTCAAAGGTCGTCCATAAATTATAGTCTCACTATTCAAACTTCATATTTCAGTATTTTTAATATATCATAGCTAAAAATATCATAATCCAAGTATTGCCGTTCCTACTTAGATTAGAACTTAGTATGAACTCTTTAATAAAATGAAATGCAAACATACTGAATTCAGCTTCTAAACTCTATTTATAAATTCACTCATTATTTTGACAGTTTTTCAAAAGTCCATGTGTCAACACAGTACCAATAACTCGGTTTCCAATATGAATTTGTGAAAAATTTAAATAATGATGTTGATAATCTATTTGTTTTATACTTTATTCGGCAAGTGATTGTCATAATGAATATCAATTAGGACAAAATTACCTTTTCTGATTACGTTGCTATTCTACCTTCATTGGATAGTCAGCTGAATCGATTTGTTTCTATATTTCGTCTTTCATTATATATAATGCATCACTTACTTTACGGTTGTCAACTTTCAAAATTTGTATACCTAAACAATTAGAATGGGTTGATCTACCAACTTGCGTTGAATGGCTCTAGCATCAAAAGTATTAGTCAGAAACCCCAAATTTTATTGGTAATTAGTCACTTTTTAATAAAAATCATTTGTAAATTTTAAAAACTTGGTAAAATGGCAATATGTTAACGAAGAGAGATAATAAGAAAATTAACATGATGGTATGTAAGTATATCAGTTGACATTTTCCAGATCCTAGGTAACGTACATTCTAGATTCTGATACATTCAGCTAATCAAAAATTGATCAAAATATAAGTCCACGCCACCTGTCTAGAATTGGCTTACGTTTCCCAGCAATGAGATATACACAAGTGACGGCTTCGTTTTTATTGGGATATATATATTGTTATAACTTGTCGACCATATGGATGCCTTTTAATGTATGACGTGTTAAGATCGCCAATTAGAAAGCAGCGAATTATCGATTGGAACAGTGACACACGAAAATCGTACGAGCAGTCTAGAGTACGTATCGGTCCTGCTTCCGCCTAGCCCAGCTAGTTAAGTCCATAACACTTATAACAGCCTCTGTGGTATGAACCATTTTATTTCAAACATACTGAGTTTATACACCAAACAGACAGACCACATCGTACCAATAAAATAGAAAATAACATTTGTACAAGATTCAGCCAAATGTGGCTGCAAATGTGGGAGGCAGTGATTAATAGACTAGGGATAACTCAGGAATAGTAAATCGTATAAAAATAGTTTATAGTTCAAAATAAAGCTCATGATAAAAGGAACATAAATATGAATAGTTTAGTTATTTAGCGATTATACGATAAAAAAGTATATGCATAATATTGGTCCATAAATGGATCCTAAAAGTTACCATTCATTATTCTTATCGGGATATATATATATATATATATATAAACATACATGCCGATTCGGTTTGTTAATCGATTTCCATTTTAACTCAACCTTTTTACCCTGGTAACCAGTTGGGCCCACGTATGGGCGAATTCCATATAAGTATCAGTAAAAGACACCAGATTTCGTTACTTAACTTTATCAGTTAAAAGTAATAGGTGTTGATTTATTTTTGTGCTATTCATTTTTACTAAAGTTTCACTCTCATTAAAGATATTTCAACTTTCAAACAACGCCTAATTATATGACGTAATTAACCTTTTATTTCTAATATTATATTATTATATCTACTAGATAGATATTTGTATTTTGTTTACAAAAACAAACTACATACAATCTGTAACATATTTCCAATTTGCATGAAAAAAATTTATCCCATTATGATCCATGTTATATTTAGATCAATATTTTTTTTTTGTTGTTGTTCAATACAACACAAATGAAGTAAATTTTATCCAATCAAAAAAATCAAAATTTTTTAACTGTATTGGTTTGACCAGAAAAAATTAATAATAAATCAGTATACACCTACGTAGTTTATTTAATTTTTCATTTAAAACTTTTAGATAGCAACAATATATTATTTTCTTTTGAATTTCATTATTAGAACATTAAACAATAACAGATAATAATGATAGCCTAGCAACTAAATAAAATATTAATAATCATTATAATCAATGTATTCAATTCCTACAGAAATATTATATCAAATATATAATAAACTTAATATAAATGATTTAAATAATTGTTCACTTGTATGTAAACAATGGAATCAATTAATTAATGATATTTATATATGGTTACCAAAATGTTATAAAAAATTAAAAAAAACTTATTGGATTGATGAAACTATATTAATATTATTAAAATTATGTGGAATTAATAATATTCAATTATTTCTTGAAAATAAACAATCAATAAATCAATTATCAATAAATCAATTACATTTTAAATCAGGTTATTATATGAGAAAATTATATAATTATTTAAAATTATTATCAAATAATAATAATAATATTAAAAAATATCAAATCAATAAAAATATTATTGATTATTATAAATGTATTATGATTGGTCCTGGTATGGATTCATCAAATATAAATCGTTTATTAATTAATTATATATTAAATTGGTCAATATTAAATGAAATACCAGATGATTTTATTATACCTAATATTAATTTAGGTATAATAAGTGAATTAATTGGTATAAATATAATGATCAAATTACCTAATTTAAATAATTATATATTAAATACATTAATTAAAATGACTTGTATTATACCAAAAAATGGTGAATTATTAGAAGATAAAAATAGAATATCGGGAAAATATTTACTTTATAATGAAAAAAATGATAATAATAATAATAATATTGATCAAATTAATTTTTTACCAGAAATCAATATTTTATTAAAAGAATGTCATGTTATATTATATATAATTGATATAACAAAATCAATAATTAATGAATTAAATTGGGAACAAATTATTAAAGAAATTATATTAATATTAAATAATTTAAATGTTAATCAAACTTTATTAATTATTGGAGCAGGTAATGAATATGATAAAGAGGAATGTATCAGTCTTATAGATCTTGTAAATAAATTACAGTGTATTCTATTTAAGAATTTTACCTTTGATAGTTTAGAAGAACAGTTGATATTAAAGATACCTAATGCTCAATGGAGAATATGGTTAACATCTTCCAATGGATTGGATTATGATAATTTAGCAAATATGATCAATTGGGGTTTGTACAGAAATAATGATAATGATAACATCAAAGTTTAATTAATTCAACTTCAAATAATAATTTTATTTAATAAATGTTTTTTTCATTGTTCATTTCCTTAATTTTAAAAGAAACAGTTGGAATGATTCTATTTGTATAAAAATACATTCCAACAATTCCAGTAGTTCTCAGTACTATTAATTCATGTGCTGAAAATAATTATTTGTTACCATGGTTATTTTACATGGCAATCTTCTTTTATTCAAATGGATTATTATAAATATCATGAAAACTTTTTATTCAGTTTTGGTTCAATCTACATTATCTTTCCAATATCTATATTTTATGTAATTATACTTCTTGTCTTCTTATTTACTGATTATTATTATTTTTTAAAAGTTAAGACATAACAGACGAGTGTGATTGAATTGTAACTATGGAAGTGAATAATTAAATAACTCTTTTGAGGGAATTTTATTATTTACTAACGATTAATTGATTGTTCTATATACCTTGTAAATTTAATCAAATGGAATAAAATCAAGTAAATCTAGTAACTGAATTTTTCAGTTTTTTGGGGAATCGTTTTTAAAAAAATCATTAAAGTGATCTAAAACAAAACAAACAGTTTTATTTTAGATTGAATTCATGAACGGATCAATGTCATATTACCGCAGGAGATTTGGAAGCACTGAAAGGCCATTTCGTTTTATTATGGCTCTCCACATCAGTGCGCATCCACGATCTCGTACGCGGGACTCGAATCAGGAGCCTTCGGTCTCACGCGCGAATACATAACGTCTATACCACTAAGCCGGTAGCCAACAGCGTCGATGTCTAACTTTATCCAATCCACGATGTTGCGTGACCGTTCACTATTGTCTTCAGTGAGCAACTGCGTCACAGCAGATAAGGGTCACGACTTCTCACTAGAACTCCACGAAATCCATCTTAAAGCCAGTCACTAGAGAGCACATGATAGTTATCAGTATAGGGTTGTGGAAATTGTTGAGTTTCGATGGATATCATGAATGGATCAATGTCCTTGGTTCGAGTCCCACATGCGGGATCATGGATGCGAATTGCTGATGAGTCCCATACTAGGATGAAACGGCTGTCCAGTGCTTCCGGATTTTCAATGGTGGTCTAACATTGATCCATCCATGATATCGATCTAAACTCAACAATCTCCACAACCCTATACTGAGAATTTTATTTGTTCAATAAACGTACTCGTCCATACATTGTTAGTTATCTAATAACTACTTAGACTTATCATATTTTAATTTGGCATTATCATATTTCTTACTGGTAATAGATTCATTGACGAAAACTATGCACAAAATCCCGCAAAATTGGCAAAGACATAAAGATAACTTTTGACCAAATGAATCATTTAAAAGATATAAATTTTGTTAAAGGATGTTGATTTCTCAGTCAAAAAATAACTTAAAAAGCCTATTTATCTAGTACAGTAAAATGATATGACATAAATCAGTGATCATCTATGTTATGTATTCGTTGGGTATTATAATTTGTTCACCATGAGATTTGAGTAAACTCAACACTATGGAGAAATATAAAGATCATGTAACTAAAGCGAATGGAATTGGTGTTTTTGCACCATATTAGCTGTATGGTGTGAGTGAAAAAGGTTCATCGATGTTATGTCTTACATCATCACATGGTACTCCTAGAACAATCCTGAAATAGTCATATCGTTCCATTCTGATGAAAGTATATGTACTGGATTTTTGTTATGTATCTTTTTCGTCCTCACTAGTTTTTTGTTGTTGGAATGATCATATAACCATGTGACTGACTGACCTTGTCCTCATAAATTGGTCTCTGGACACAAATCTTGATTCCATACTGACCTGTACTTAATGTTAGAGGTCGATATAATTCTCTGTTCAAAATCGTTAAGTAAAAGTAATAGGAAGTTTGGTTGACGATATAAATTCATTGGTGACAAATCAGTAAAATGTTTATCGAGATCACGAATCAATCTAAGTTAAACACTATTAAAAACCTGAAAGCACTGGATATTTTTTATCCGACTACGATACTCCTTTGCTGTGAGCATCTACGACCCTAACTTAAATCGGTTAGTAATTTTAATGAAATTAAAAAATCTCTACAACCTTCATATTGATAACAAATCTTTATCTGAAATGGAATAACAACATACAAATCACATCTATAGATATCAACTTATTGGTCTCATTTTTAAAATCACCGACACTCAGTACAGGAGGTTTGTGAAGATGGTTCTCGGTAGTGCCGTAGATTTCCACTGCCAAGGAGTCCCTCATTGGGGCGAAACATCTGTCCAGTGCTTCCTAGTTCTCAACCGTTATCTGACTTCAGTTATTTCGTGATCGCAATATTTTGGTGTTATTTGTCACGCATGTAGTGAACAATATTCAAGTCTGAAAATCAATACAATTTATATTCATTAGAAAAATGGTCAGTTCTTATCTTTGGAATAGGAAGTATTCTAGTGAATTTTTTTAAATTTAGACGTTTAAATAACTTTTAGTTGTAAAACTTGAAATCTTATCTTTTTAATTACTTTCACTCTAATGCAAATTCTTGTTTTCGGCTATAGTTCGTCCACAGATTAAATAATAGAGATTTTTTTGAATTATCAAAACATCTTGTTGTTTTGAGCGACAACATAGTTAAGCATTTAGAAAACTAATTAGTCAAGCGTATGTTTTTTTTGTATATGATGTAACTGACGTATGGTTGATTGCTCTGTAGATTTTACTAAAGAATTTTTGTGTCCTACTTTTCTTCTAGAAATGCTCTTCATAATCTGTGTTGTTATTTATATTTCATTTATTGATACTGAATCTTGAACAGAGAATGCTTCCGCTACTTCTTAGTATTAATACACTAAACAATAAAATTGATCAGGATAAAAAAGACTAATTAATGTGTTTGACAGAATAAGGTCGTGTCATTTCAATAAGATTGCAAATAACTAATTTTGTAATCTATGTTCATATGAAGTTTCACTGTATATTTATGTAAGTCACAGAGAATTTGAGTGATTTGAACATTTATATTGATTATCTTCAATCCAGTATACAAACAACCGCGTAATGAAATACACTATCATGGAATAGCTTCGAAGAATTATTCCATATATAAACAGCGAAAAGAAAGATTCAGTCTTTATAAACCTACATCAATTATTCAACCATTTTACTAATGTAGACAAAAAGGTTATTGAAGAGTTGTTTGATGACCATTTTTAATCCATTAGAAGTTGGGATATTTTGAATCTACGAATAAATGATATCACTTCATATTATTGCTTTTCTTAGCGAATAACCAGTATTTATATACTGTTACCAGAAAACGTATTACCATATTATAGATGAATTTGTTGAAGAGACAATTAAATATATTCTGATGTTTACTGATAATTTGGCCTTGCATTCAGAGATCCCAACACATATACGAATCTGAAACACAGTTATTTATATGAATTTTAATTTATTACTAACTATCATGGCAGTAAGTTAGTTGGTATTTGTCGCGTAGGGTCTTAAATACCCCTATCTAAATATATAACTATGATTTAACAGAGCCACTAGTTGCACTATGAATGTTAGAGGTGGTAACAGTGTCAATAATATTAATATTACTGGGTATTTTTAGCGATTCTAGTTAAAGCATCTACACTCAATAAACGTTTAGTTATAATTCAGGTTATTTTACGGTTAATTTTTCAAAATCTGAACAGAATTGTCTTTACTGAAACAATAAACCTGATCTTGAGAAATTTAAGTGCATACATTGGAAGAATACACTGCTTAATTAGTGGCTGGACCTTGATTTCTTAGTAGCTTAGAAAGATACTCATATGTGAACTTCAATTTTCGAAGAATGCTTGTGCCTGAGATTATATCTTTTCTTTTGTTAAATATACGCTATGCCAGTGCATTTGCCAAAAAGTCTCCATTGTACAGTACATAATTTCAATATCCTCTAATCAATTTTCAACTAACTGACTTTTACATCAATTCAGTAGGGATGTTCTAAACACTATAGACAGCAAAAATAAATGCGGTTTTGTGGGAAATATGGTTTAGTAGCATAATAATGGAACGAAGCTAGATTATGTAGCAGTTTACTTGTTTTCTGACGATTTGAACAAGAACAAAGTGATACTCTTTGGTATCTCTGAAGAAATATACACATTTGAAAGGAATTAAAAGATAATTTATTTGTTTCATTCAAATGTCATTTTTTAAGGATAACTTTACAAGGACATACCTGGTATAAGCAACCTTCAGTTATTCACAATATATGTAACTGTCAGATAATCTGCTCAGTTTACAGAATTTAAGACAACTATATATTAGAACAAGGAATTTTGTAAACAGAGCCTTTAGTAAGCAAGCCTTATAAGCCTCGATATGTTAGTTCCTGATGACATCTCCAGAGGGATACAAGAAACTCGCTTGTCCATTGCTAATTTACACTATTTATGATGTTGAAAAGATTTTCAATAACCACCCAAAGGATATGTATGCTACACAGCAGGTTTTTCTGTTGTACTTTGTTAGTATGAAACGTGAAACATGTAGGTCTTAGCACTTCATCAAACTAGTAGTGGACTTTGCGCACAACGGTGCAATCCAATCTCTTGGTTTACCACCGTCCTAACACACTTTATTTTTGACGTTTTTTTCTGACATGTGTTAATTAATATTTTTATTTTCTTTTAAATCATCAACTGGACAATTTTTCTTAATACCATTTGACTAATACGTAAAGCTGGATTTTGATTAACCCCTACTATCACAACAACACTTGACTTTATTATACATTACTATATGCATAAAATAATAAAAAAAAATATGATTATATGGTTCTATTTAATGACATTGTTGAAAAAGAAAGTCATTCCTCAATGAGCGTTTTATTTTCTTTAATAAGACAAAAGGTTGCAAAATGACTCATTATCTCTCTATCTATGTGCCAAATTCATTGTAAACATGCTTTTTTTGGAAAATAATTATTTAAGCTGAATTGTTTTCATTTCATTTATAATAATAAAAGATAACAGCAGCATTGTTATATCCCGTTGAGAATAATGAATGATAACTTTTGGGATCCTTTTGTGGACTATGCGTATGTTTTCATTGTATAATTGTTAACTAACTAACGGACGAAACGGCTGTCCAGTGCTTCCAGGTTTTCCATGGTGGTTTGGCTTCAATTAACTCATGATTTCAACTATGAAAATAAACTATTTATGTTCATGTCACTCTTATTATGAGTTTTATTTTGACCTATGAACTATTATTATACGATTTACCATTCTTGAGTTATGCCCTGTCTATTAATTACTATCTCCCTTATTTATAGGCACATTTGGCTAGATCTTGTATAAATGTTTTTTCCTATTTTATAGTGCAATGTGGTCTATCTGTTTGGTATATAAATCCAGTATGTTTGAAATATATGATTCTTACCGTAGAGGCTGAGATTGTTATTCTGGACTTAACTGACTGGGCTAGGCAGAAAGCGTGACCGATACGTACTCTAGACTGCTCTCACGGGTTGTATTCGTCATTCATGTGATCGATAAATCAGTGCTCAATAATTGGCGATATTATCACGTTATACATGAACATGGTACACAAACCTTCCTATCGTGGGACTCCTCAGGACGAAACGGCCGTCCAGTGCTTCCAGGTTTTCCATGGTGGTCTAGCTTCAGTTAACTCATGATCTCAACTATATAACAATACTGAAATCTCCACAAAACCCCCTTCTGATAATAAATAATAAGGCAGATTTAGCCATCAGTTAGCCAAACTTTTAATGGTACATCAACAAATAATTTATTATTTCTTTACAGAAGAATCACGTTTTTAAAACTATAAATAAATCATCTGACATTTTCAAAGTAAGAATGGAATGGAATGAACATTTAATTTAAAAAAATAATAATGAAACTAAATAGTGATAATACAAAAATACTGAGCTTGTAATTCACTTCTGTCATTATAAATATGTTTTATTATGTAACTGACATAGTGTTAAACAGTTTTCATATTCTTTCATTCCAGGATATTGTTTAATAGTGTTATTTTCTGACTGCCATAAATTACACTGATTGGTACAAGTGGATGATCAGTTTCTTTTAAATATGCCTAAGTAATAAAGAAACAAGTTAATATTTTTATATTAATAAAAAAAACATTTATTTTTAAAAAATCATAACACTAATTAGTTCTGTTATCTATCTATTACAGTTAGTTATTAGTGAAACGTCAGTTAGTGATCACTTTTTTAGTATTACATAGTGTTCTAATGATCTATAATCAACCTAGTTCTTGTTACACGCCTATGAAATATTACTGCAACTTAATTGTACTGTAGTAACATAATATTAATTTGCGATGATACTATTTGTATAAAACAATGTTGTTAGTATGCTGAACGTAGTTTTATTGATCTCATCTTTTATTAATTATATTTATTCACCAGCTTACCGTTCATAAAAGTTTTATTTTCGTTTGGAAACAAGTTAAGTTATTAGAAAAAGTTAGATCGGACTGCAATTAATTCACCGATAAAGCCTATTTAACTTAATCCCTTGAAATTTAAGCTACACAGAGAAAAAGTAACAGGTGGACAAAGTAAAATGACCGAATTCACAAATCCAAGAAAGTAATCAACTAGAATGTGGAACGTCACAGATAAATGTTAATCTCGCAACTGTTTGATCGTTGAGAATTGAACAAATATCATGTTTATCTTGTCTTTTGATGCTGATAGAATCCTATTTATCAAGATCCAATGAGATCACTTAACTTCGTATCACTATATCGAGATGTTAGGTGGTTGAAGGTAATCGACAGTATACCTTAGGTCAATCATTTGTAAATATTTCAGTGATGTAGTGGGTCAGTCGTTGCCAGAATAGCTCAGTGTTAACTTCTCAGACTGAACGGGGTGGGTTCGAATATCACAAAAAACATCATTAATACCAGGATCAAAGATACGCCTTGCTGACGAGTACCAAATAGCACAAAATCTCGTTTCAGGGTTTCTCTTTGATTAATTTCAACCATTTAATTTAGTTGTAGCGCATCATTATGAGATAAGAGTCTTAATTTCGAGAAAGAAATCGCATTTGAACTTGGAGGTATGTAGGATTTGCTTGTTGCTAACGAGTTTTACAAACACGCCTAATGTTTATCCCATGAGATCCTAAGCAGTATAAGAGTCGATGTGCGTATGAAACCGAGTGCTATAAATGCCGATTGGTGACGCAAATTCACCATTATTCAGTCAACTTTATGATCAGTCTATAAAGAATTTTGGGTTCAGTACTAATGATATCAATTATAGTAAAATATCTTAAATCCAAAAATGCAAATTTAAATCTGTATACTAAATCATAATCTGAATCTTCTTGTATCGAAGTATGTTTCCGATAGAAACTAACATCAGCTGTAGAGCACTACAAATATGACTTGATTTGATTTGAGATTTTTCAAAGGTGCGCATTCACAACTCGGGACCTCCTTAAAACTTGGACATTTACGTTTTGGAGCAAATATGATTTCTTCCGACGAATAACTCAAGTACCAGTAATCAATGTTTTTGGCTCCAGTCAATTTGTGACACAAACTAATCTTCATTTAGTGTCTCTTATATCATTTGTATAAACCACTAAATTAATTAATAATGCTTGATAGAGAATAGCTAGGATGCAGAACTGTTATTATGCGGATAAAGAATAATTTATCTTCTTGAATAATGTAATCCAAATAATTTAAAATGATAATCTCACTTCTATAATAATCAAGTATTTAGTAAACCTTTATTTTATTTCCAAAGATACTAAGTTGATGTAGGAATTTTAATTTCCAAAAAATAACTATTGAACAATACCTGTTTATTTAGAGATGAGATTAATCAGTCACTGAAAATTCTAAAAGTTAGAGGAATCATCCTGAATAAAATCAAACACTAAAATACTGTTGATCACTTATCGATAAAAAGAATTCGATCAGCCCTAATTTTAAGTTACTTTTTCCAATATCAAAATATAGTCGTGAGTCAATTGAAGCTAAACCAGTGGAGTTCAATCGGGTCTGTTGTGAGATAGCAACTAACCGAATACGATGGTGGACGGTCACTCAATTTCGTGGTTTGGTTGAAGTTAGACATTAACACCGTCGGATGCTGGCCAGCTTAGTGGTCTATCGGTTAAGTGCTCTGGCGCGAGACTGAGTTCGAATCTCATGAGGCGGGATCGTGGATACACACTGCTGAGGAGTCCCATAATAGAACGAAACGGCCGTAAAGTGCTTCCAGGTTTTTCATGGTGGTCTAGCTTCAGTTGACTCATGATTTCAACTATTGAATTACTAAAATCCGCATTTTAATATTCAAATAATTAACGCCAAAAAATTGGTTACACTTCATGGTAGTCAAAATGAAAATTATTTTTTCTTGCTTTTAATTATAGATTTTTTGTAATAGAAAGTTAATTATAAAATAGAATTTTATGTAATATCATAAGTAGATATAAAAGTAATTTTATATAGTTGAAATCATCAGTCAATTGAAGCTACATCACCATGGAAAACCTGGAAGCCCTAGACGGCCGTTTTGTCCAGTTGACTCATGAGTTCAACCATATAAAATTACTAAGATCTCCACAAAATCTCCTTCAGATATAAAAGTGTTAAATAAATAATAATCAATATTAAGTTTGTAGTTAATAATGTTTACAGGTATAAGTTTATAAAATTTCATAGTTTTATATTCTATTTTGAACTGTATAGTAAGAGATAACCATAAAATAAATTGTCATAGGGATAATTTAGATCTATCAAATAAAAGAGGTTGTTTTAAAACGGTAATCAATATAATTACACTATGTAGATGCTTTAATGCAATAATAAAGGATTCCTTAGATGTAGGTAAATATATTTCAGTCGATTCATGTGACAATTTTATATTGTTTCTATAACTATTATCAGAAGGGTTTTTTTGTGGAGATTTCAGTATTTTCATAGTTGAAATCATGAGTCAATTGAAGCTAGACCACCATGGAAAACCTGGAAGCACTGGAAGGCCATTTCGTCCTATTGTGGGACTCCTCAGCAGTGCGAATCCACGATCTCGCCGGAATCCGACGGTGTTAATGTCTAAACTCAACCAATCCACGAAGTTTGAGCAACCGTTCACCGATTGTCTTCAGTGAGTTGATATGTCACAACAGACCTGGTTGAACTCCACTGGTCACTGCTTCCCAAAAGAACTCAAGGAAATATTCCTTACAGTCAGTCACTAGTGAGCATATGATTACAATCAGAATGGGTTTCTTGTGGAGGTTTCAGTACTTTCATAGTTGAAATCATGAGTCGATTGAAGCTAGACCAACATGGAAAACCTGGAAGCACTGGAAGAACTATTTACAAACATGTTGCTTATATCAATAACTTAATAATAAACACACAAAAATATTATTTTATAAGTGGTAATTTAGTAGGGATTAAACTCTTTTTTCTGAAGAAGACATATATACTACTGAAATATTTAAAATTTGTTAGTGACTGAAAGTAATTGATAAATATTAAATAATTCTCAATTTTGCAATACCCATAAAATAAAACAAAACTCTTTTAAACATGATAAAAAGTATAAAGTCAATCAATTTGTCCTTTTTTAGTTTCAGATTTCCAACTTAAATCATGTGATAATATTATAGTTTCCCATAGTTACGATATATGCAATAAATGAAGGCTACGATACTTATAAACATCCGATTAAATTCATAATTTTTCTTCTGAATTTCAGTTGGCTTATGAAAACATTTTAATCAATAGAATACTAAAGAGTTCAGAGGTTATCATTTATATAGGCATAAATATGTCGTCTCTTATTTCATAATAAAGTGTTGATTACTATACATAAGCATTTATAAGATAATAATGAATAGTTTCAAATAAAATGGTCATCATGTATAGCATTATATATTTTTCAACTTCCAACCTGTAAAAAAGTGTATAGATAAACTAAACTTTTTACTTTCATTAAAGCTTGAATGATTTTGTTCAATTTCTTGAAATGTATAGGTTTGTTTAGAACTTTTATGTACTTAAATTCAATTATTTTTGTTTTCTGTGAATCTTCCCATTGATGTTTAGTACTGCAACTGGTCAGTCTTTAATTGAAATATGTGCGTACTGTGCATATTGCCTTGATATAGCCTTAATCGATTACACTGCTAGTCATTATCCATCATTGCTTACAATGTTTTATGTACTTAGTTTTAATTTACAAATTAGAGCTTATATTAGTTTTTATTTAATAATTAAATAGCTCTTTACTCAAATAATAATCAATATTACTACACTATGTGATATCCAGTAAGATTTTATACCCTCAACATTGAATAACATTTATTGCATGGTAAAAATAACTCTTACATGAGCATTCAATAAAGCATTTTGCTTTTCCTGATTTGAACACTGATCTCCAATATAGACGTATAAATGAGACCCATTGTCAATGAAGTAAACATCATCTTGAGTAATCACAGATCGTGGAAGCACATCTTTACATATCAATGATAATTTAATTTCCCCACCTTCATCTGAAAGGCTTTTATGATGAGAAAAGAAAATTTATGATGATTTACATCCTAATTCTAACAGATAAACAAGGGTAAAAAAATAACTTTTAAACAGTTTTTCAAACAGTTACATACATTGCTTACATTTAATAAGTTGTCATATATCGTTTAAGTGAAGAAGGTTGGATATGGTGATATAACTTTTATAAAGAATTCACAATGGTTTATAGACACACAGTAAACATTATATAATTGCAGATCAACTGATACAGTTGCACATATTATCAAAATCTGACTGTATCAAAAGGTTAAACTAATAAAAAATGTTCATCTTTCCATATTCACTTGAAATTCCTAATTATTCTACGTATGAAGAAGATTATGCCACTACTCAGTACAAAGATAGCTATAAACTCTGCTTCACCAGTTTATGAACCATCATATAGTCAAGTAAGCAGTATATATTGACTGCGATGATCGGAACCTATCCTCATTAATTACGGTAAGCATTACAACTGTTGATATGATCAACTTTTGAACCCGTCAATGACACTAGATTTTAATACAATCGGAAAATTATGTCACTTAGTATTACTATAATACAACTATAATATTTTCTATGACTTCCCATATTTACTTAACTGGTAAAAAAACATGAAGACTTTATATTCAGTCACTTAAACCCTTCCAAAACTTGGTATACAAACGTTATTCGTAAACTTGGGAAAAAATACACTTGATGAAAATTTCCAGAATAATAATAAGTAGCCATAATAACAATACCGAAATATTAGGTAATGCATCAAAGAAGAATTCATGTATACTGCTTCAAGGGCATGCAATTGATTGAGGCACATTATGTTTATAAATTCCGAAGTACTATTTAGCATTTGATAGTTTCAGTTTTAAAGGAAATTTAGTTACACCAGCTCAAAGTTTTTATTTTGTATTTTATTTTACACGTTGTAATTGAACATAATTTAATTTCATAAACATTTTTGAAAATGGGAAACTGTTTAATATCAAGTGGTAGAGGTGTGAGTGTCCAAACATTTTGTCAGTTTGATCAAAGTACAAAATGAATCAAAAGATTGCAAAGTCAGTTTATGTAATCTCCAAATATTTCGAATTCATGGAGGGAAAAATCAAGATGCCATTTGTCCTTTCTGATGATGATGAATAATATACGAACTGAAATCAACATGACTGCGTAAAAATTAATAAATAATTTCTTTCCAGTCAATTTCAGCTAGATTGAAATACTAACTGTTGGTTTGCAGGAAGTAATCTGTAAGTCTGGTTGATCTTTCAAAAAAGATATTTTAAAACAACCATAGTAATTTATTAATTAATTAGGAAGAATGAAGAATTTTCAGATAAGAAAGTTTTCTTTTCAAAGATATCATTTCCTTAAGCTGTACAATAACCTGAAGCAGTATATTATCCTCGATACTTTCATGAGTGAGTTTCCTACCAGAGAAACAGTTGTAAGCTTCACCGAATAAAAAGTCTTTCCCAGAGATCTAAATAGTTTGTTCTTTAGTGTCTCAGCAGTAGTAGCTCCCTTGGACATTTTGAGTAGTCATTTTCATTTCACTCACTGACCTATATTCAGGTGAATTTTGACTCCGAAGAGAACACTTCACCTTAACGTCTTATCATTTAGCCTAAGGTATCAGCACTATGGAACCCTAGATAAGTTAACTGTAATGAGAGAATTATGTATAGGGCCAAGGAACGGACTGTATGCGTACATAACCTTTCAATCAGCTCTTTTAAGGTATTTTCCTGTTGGATTACAGCGATTGTAACCTTCAGTTTTATTCCTTTATTATTTCTAAAGGTAAACGCAAAATATACCAACTAGCTAACTTACATAATACTTATTTCTTACTAATCAGATCTTGGTAGTAAATGTGACACATTATTAGCTCTACAACACAATTATGATTAGTTTCTCACAGTATTATAATGGATGAGAGAACAAACTATCACACTACAACAGTATGCACTGAATATATTTAAAATGATGTGAAGTAGCTACATCCATTCTTCGCTGGAATCTAATATATTCGTTCAGAAGGGTTTAACATTGTAGTTCTAATAAGAATTACAGCAAAGTATTAAAATATTTGAAAACGGTCTGTCCACAGTGAGCTGAATAACTTACCGATGAACTGATTTCGTTCCACGGTCAAATTTAGGAGGTGCAGTAATTTCGGTATCTGGCAGCTTGGCTAAAAATTCTTCCTTAAAGTTGTACAGATAAAAAGAAGAGCTAAATGTAAGTAAAATTAAAATGAGGTCATCAATATCCGTGAAAAAAGACCTGTGAGTAGTGAATGTGTAACTAAACAAATTTCTAAACGATGTAAACGTTTGTGTAATTTAACGTCCTACCAGAAATGATAGATTAGGAATGTTTTCGAGAAATATTATCTGGATTTCCAAACCCATTTTCATGTTCGAAATGTTTAAAGAGACTGATGAAGTATTTTATAAGCAAACAACTAGGAAGATACTGTGATTTCATTTTAAAAAATCTCATCTGCTGCACCAGTAATGCGCATGAGTCATATGCCATTTCAAAGCCACACGTGGAAAAGAGATGCAAGTATATGTGGACTGCTGTGAGCAAAGGGATTAGTCACCTAACAAAGGTCATCGACTACATGATCCTTTTTAGACCAGTTCAGTTGTCTACGATATTTGGTCACTTCACTGTGCATATCTGGTACTCAAGTACTAGAGAAATGGATTTTCAACTGAGTTATATAGCAGTTATTTTTGTAGTCTTTTAAATATTTTTAGTCAACCTGTAGTAAATAGAAAGTAGAGTATATAAAATGTCATCCGATATGATTCACATTTCTATGGTAAATAAAAATGAACCTTTACATTGCTCTCAATCACGATAATCTAACTGGTTGAACTTACAGATATATTGGATTAATAATTTAATAAAGATTATACATGGAAAGTGATCATAAAATATTCATATTCATAATAATAATAAAGCAAACTAACTAGTTCCTGCGAGCTTTCATTTTCTTCTAATACTTGAATTTGAAATTTTCCACTACGTTCACCTTTAAGTCTTAATAAATATTCTCCACTCTATAAATAATAAAAAGAAAGATTTTAAAAAGGATATAATTATTTTTCTAATAAGAACTTTTTTCTAAAGATGTACAAGTGAGATTAAATTAAAATAGTGTACATAATTAACATACAATTCCATTCAAAAGTCTTGAGCTTTCAATCATAGTTGTTTTGGTGTTTTTTTTTGTTAATTTCAGAAGGAGTTTGTGGAGATTTCAGTATTTTCATAGATGAAAGAATGAGTAAATTGAAGCTAGACCACCAAGGAAAACCTGGAAGCACTGGACGGTCGTTTCGTCATATTGTGGGACTCTTCAGCGGTGCGCCTCCACGACCCCGCCTCGCGAGATTCGAACCCAGGATCTACCAGTCGAGCTTCAATTGACTCATGTTTTCTTGTTGTTGTTGTTGATAAGTTGTGTAAAATAATTCACATTGTAATATGGATGAGTTTTATAAAGATACTGTTTTAAGATACAATAATTATGATTGTAAAACCATCATTGAAGGTAGCTCACATGAAGGCATCTATATTTCATGAATGATTTTTATTACTTCAACTGGAATAAGAAACTAATACTAGAATAGAGGCTCGTGAATATTGATAATTTTTCTCCAGTCGACATCACATATGGAGGACTATTAAAAAATAAAGAACTAGACTTTTGTTTTGTACTAGGACTAATAAACTAATTTTGTGAGACCATAATTTATGGACAACTTTTGAGTGACACCACGGTGAACTTGAGAATGCCCACTTACGTACTAGGTCTAAATGAAGATTATAAAACAGTTTGAAGAATAATGATTATGATTTACAGTTAACGGTTAGGGTTAGGAATTAGATTTATGGTTTTCATCACAAACTGACATAAGCTAAAATGCCAAAACACTATTTAAACAGATAGGTGAATGAATTTCGCGCAAAAACTCATTACCTGTTATTCTAAATCTGATTAGTTCGTCCATAAATTATAATCTCACCACTAATTATTGTAACTATATTTTGAATTTATTCCATGGATATGCATTTAACTACGACTTATGGAAGTTCTACTAATACTCACATTTATAAACTAACCATCAATTTATCTATCACAACATACTTTCCCGTCTAATTCTCACTGTAAGTCCCTTCTCGTGGTGATTTTTGTTACAACAAAGCTAATTAACGTCATAAACTTTTCAGTACATTTTATCTCATTGCAATTATACCCACTTTTTTTTAACACCGTGGTCAGTTTTGTGACATAATTTAAACAATCATTAAAGAATAAAAGAAAACTTAACATACATTTCAATCTAGTATTTAAACAATTTATTGTTAATTTAAAATTATAAAGAAATTTGTTATATCCCCCGGTGAATTATGAATGGTAAATCTAAGGTCTATTTATGGACGAATGTAATATGCCTATTTCCTATTGTATAGTTGTTAAATAACTGACCTAATCGTATTCGTGTTCCTCTTATCATAACCTTTATTTTGACCTTTGAAATATTATTATTGATTACTTTCCCCCTATCCACAGCCACATTGGCCAAATATTGTACAAATGTTATTTTTCTATTTTTTGGCATAATGTGGTCTGTTTGGTTAGTATATAAACCCAGTATGCTTGTGAATAATGATTCATATTACCGAGGCTGTTATTTGTGTTCTGGACTCAACTGGCTGGGCTAGGCATAAGGCAGGGCCGATACGCACTCAAGACTGCTCGTACGATTTTATGTATCATTGGACGTTTATGTATTAAGAGGGTATACGTTATAACAACTGGCGACGGGATCGATAATTCACTCTTCTATCATTGGCGGGCATCATCACGTCCATATATGAAATAGGGCACATGCAAGCAATCGATATAACAACTGGCAATTCATACGTTATAACAAAATTGCTAATCTGACTCTAATCTGCATTAATTATCTGATGATAATCTCTAATGCAAACTATCATAAGAGTTAAGTACTTAAAGTTAATAAACTGAAAACTGCTTTGTTGTATATTATTAAGTTCAGGAATGTTTTAATATTAAAATATATGACAATCAAATATATATATATATATATACGAATGTGAGTAAACGTAGATTGTTCAAATTTTATGCTAAACAGTTAAACCAAAAATCAGTAACTTGATTTTGAGTTAGTAACTAAATATTAAAACAGCAACTACGTCTTTTATTTTAAATATGAAACGTTCAACCTTCAGACTTCAAAGTAATTATTCCATACTTGGCTATTCTTAGTTTCTTTTCGAGTACGGACTAGTTGAAAGGAAATCCTAAGTTTATTTATGAGGGCTAAACATATGGAAATGTAATAAAAAAAAACCTTCTTTCGAATATATCAGCAGAGTGTGATGTAATATTTTAAATAAAAATTCTGTAGTAATTAAGTTAATAAAACTTTCAAGAATTTCATTCAATGTAGACATCTTCCAAATAAAATACATTTATAGTTTAGAACGTTTTATAAGAATGAGCATCAACTTACTTTAAATCGTTCATATTTGCTTGATTTACTACCATTCCATTGGTATGCTAATGATCCTAAATCCAATATGAAAACATCATCCGAATTTAAAGATTTTTTAGAACAAGGGACTTCTCGTAATACAACATGTGAAGAATCAATATCTCGAAAGTGTAAAAGTCTTGTTTTTAATTCATTCAGTTTTGCACGATTAAATCCACTTTCATAACCACCTTCAAGTGTTCTGAAAATTTTTTTTCAAAATAATGATAGAAAAAGAAAATACAAACGTTAATCAAATAGTATTTTCATAGTTCAAAGCATGAGTCAGTTGAAGCTAGACTGCGCGCTGCTGAGGAGTCCCACGATAGGACAAAACGGCCATACAGTGCTTACAGGTTTTCCTTAGTGGTCTAGCTTCAATTGACTCATGCTTTGAACTATGAAAATACTAAATCTCCACAAAAAATCCCTTTTAATTGAGTAGTAAATATAATTAATATTTGATATAAAAAAGATAATATAAATTCATAAATAAAATTCCTAAAATACCGTCAGTTGATAAGTGATTAGTCTTGAATGATTTTTTTCTGGTTAGCGTTTTTTTAGCGAGTTGATTTTCTACGGGATGGGGTCGCTAACCCCATGCCCAACACTCCTCCTTTACCCGGGCTTGGGACCGACAGCAACCCCCAGAGGAACTACAGGCGGAGTTGATTAGTCTTGAAACTTCAATATAAATATAGAACTGGTGATTCCAGTTATATTGTTTATATGAAAAGAGACTGTACGATTATTATCGAATATACTGACGAATGATGAGAATCAAAGAGTTCCATTTAAAATTTATTGAACTAAACGATCTGTAGACTGTATGAATAGTGGTGAAGTTAGTAATTAACAAGAAAACATTAATACGAAATAGTTAACTGAAACAAAATGTTATATCCCTATTTCTTTGTGATTATGTTTACCAAATAAGAGATTCCTAATTATTTGAAAGTGATTTTTGTGACTAAATGGCTTTGCTTAGAGGACCACTGTAAACCAGGAGGAATTTAAAAACTACGTAGTCTTGCTTAGGCGCTCCTCACTAATGCTCAGTTGATTACATAGATAATGAGATCTAGAATCTCCGACTACAAACCAGTGGATATCTGTCAGGCGTTAGAAAAATGTGAAGAAAAAGGTCATCCTATACAAAAAAACATTGACTAGATATTAGTATGGTATCCATTGAAATCCGACTCAGCGATCTAGAGCTATCATATTGTCCATGAGACCTAAAAGTCACGAAATTTATTCTGTATGTAGTCATGGGTTGATGCCTTGAATTGGTTTCAGACAAGTATTACTGTTCAATAATTTCTAGTATACGATTGGTTGATTTATGATAAACATCGCCTTTAATATGTATAAAAATCTTCTAATAATTATTCCAGGCGAAATTCCCATAATAAATCCAATCCTTTTTGGAATGATCCTGAAAATTTCTCGCAATAAATAAAAATTCCATCTTAGAACACTTTCTTCTTTTTTAATAAGTTACAAAGTGTTATCTAAGAATGATATTATACTCATTTATAAGAGACTCACAAGACAGCTGTACAAAGGATATGTTTTATTGTTTAGTTACAAAGATGAAAATATAAGGTAATTTACTTTTTTAGTTTTCATATAATTCAACGGGGTCTGTTGGGAGATATCAACTCACTGAAGACAATAGTGAATGGTTTCTCAATTTCGTGGATTGGTTGAAGTTAGATATTAACACCGTTGGATGCCGGCCAGTTTAGTGGTCTATCGGCTAAGTGATCTGGCGCGAGACTGGTAGGTTCTGGGTTCGAATCTCGCGAGTGCGGGATCGTGGATGCGCACTGCTGAGGAGTCACACAATAGGACAAAACGGCCGTCCAGTGCTCCCAAGTTTTTCATGTTGGTCTAGCTTCAATTGACTCATGATCTCAACTATATAACATAAATTTTTCTAAACATACCAATTCTATACTAAAGTATTCGTATGTATTATACAAATTTTTAATTATTCCATTTTGTTATAAATGGTTATTTTTGTTTGTTTTCACTTTCTATTATATTCTTGAATAAAGTTATTTAGTTTGGGTGTATACGGAAAATTTAAGATTGCCCTTACAACCTGAGTTGTTACTAGTAACAATGCTATGTTTACTATATACAGAGAATGAATGAATGAAAATAGAGCTTAGGAAAAAAAGATTTCAAGTGATAGAACTAATCAATACTAAAGTAAATCTGATTTACTTCACAAATGTATTGAAGTATGTAATTAGATTTGACCCCCATTTATATGAATTTATATGAGTAGGCATCTGAATTAAAATTCAGTGAATGGAGTATAGAAGAAAAAAGGATATTAACATGTGTCCATGTCCAAGAGTTAAACATATTATGAGAGACATCCTGTGATTTATAGATTTAAGTTTGGATTAGTATTCATTATGAGAAAGATAACGATTCTCTTTTTGGTACAGAATAATCACTTTAATAAATGTATCTGAAGAACCAATAGTTATTTCACCGATCTAATATTGCTACATGTCATGGAGTTTTAATATCAATTCTTTCTTTTTATTTCCAAATTTTGTTCTATCTTTAAAACGACGTGTTCGGTGTTCTGTCTTCTCATGGTGATCAACACTACTGATAGTTCGATTAGTATATTACGCCTACAGATAATTTCATCAAATTGTAATGATGTAATGCGGTAATGCGTCCGTTTCACACTTATCCTGGATTGTGACTGGCTGAGGTATTTGTATAGCACCCCTCGCAAACTTAGGTTTGTTTGCGTTTTATTTTATTAAACCCTTCAATTAACTTATTTAACAGACAATGTTATTCGAACAGCGAAATTTTGTACATCTTGGTATTATTATCATGTCTATGTGAGCGTATTTGTTTGATCCCATGTGACAGACTGCGCACATATCCCTCACCCTAGCTTAAATGTTGGTTGCTTAGCCGTTCGATAAACCATTCACTTTCCCATATACATGTGCTTGAATCTTATTAATCTATTCAACTCTTCATCCGATTCTTTTCTCGACACTTAAATCATCTCTGTATTCGCTCGCTCACTCGCATTAGCGTTTCCACTGGAATTCGCTTTGTTTGCTTGTGGTATAGTGATCTATGCTATTCGATAATACACTGTAGTTAGTGCTTCATCTTACTTCTTGAAATTCGTAAACCGTTGGTATTTATTTAACAACGGTTATCAGAGCGACTGAGATACGAAGCCTTAGTAATTATCTAGATGATACTTAACTACATTTGCATTAGCCAGAATTACGAAGTGAGGTCATGACGATAAGCTAATTTTTGTACTAGATATCTGGCTGAACAATTCTCAACTGTATTTCAAAACGATTGACCATATGGAGATATACAACTTTTAATAAGATTAGGTACTAAAATACAACAACACAAATACAACTGGGACTCAATTTTGAGTATGGGTTGAAGAGTCATAGACGGATATTTTAATTTGAACATTTATAGTGCATCTATGAACCATTTATATTAGTGGATGTGCATGTGTTTCTAGATCTTAAATTACCGACTCGACTCTCATGTAGGGTTTCATATTTATAAATAACAAATCTAATTAAATACCACTACATTTAAACAGTTAAGTTAACAAGTTATTGAATTACTGTTCAAGAATTACACTTAGTAGGAAATTATCTCTCAACCGGTAAGCGATGACATTCATTTAGTATTATACTGCTTTCTTTTTAGAATTTTACAAAATTTAATAGACATTTCAGTGATTTACAAAAAGATTACAAACGCAAAACAGTTTTGATGACTTACTTAAACCTTTTAAAATACATTTTAAACTGGTTCGACTCCAATCCATCGACTTCACGATGCTGAACAGCTTTGTCGTCTAGAAATGTATCCAACTCTACAGTTTTGTAAGCTGCAGTCACATATTCATCCTTATGAATGAATGTGGAGTAATGAGAACATTAACAGATTTTACAGTATATAACAGAAAATGTAGATAATCACGGAAATAGTTTCATTAAGTGAAATAAACTGATTATTCTCTACCCCTAACTATGTCCACGTGTTTATAGGATTTATTCATATATAAAGTAACTATTTTGAGAACTAAAATCGTCGTAACCTTGGTAATGGAAATTAATTATTAAATAGATTTAGGTGTTAGACTAATTATTATGATAACAAAGTTGGAATGTTATTGGTACTAGCTAGTCTGGCCGAAACTCTGGATTGTATGTATTTGTGTACTATTTTACATAGCCCCGTCATTAGTTGCTTCCCTTTGATGACAGTATAAATTATCAAAACAGTATTATTGCATGACAATTCTTTTTCATAAATCATTACTAAAAAATAGAAATGTTTTTCCATATTGTCATCATGATAATGAAAAGTAAGTTATACATTTTCTAAAACAATTTTTTCAGAAAGTCAAATCATTTATAGATCTGTGTTTTAACCAATCAGTAATATGGTAAACACATTATGTCTCAGTCAAGAAAGATGAAATCAACTTCAGTCTATATACTACTAATTTCCTTAGGATATGTAGTCTGTTGATCTGTTAACTTAAAAGATTATGGAAATGGAATAATAGTAAATCTAATCAAGTTAAAAATGAAGCTGGATATAAATCAAATCAATATACGTATTAATTAGATTAAATACCGTGATATTTCGAATTAAATGCCAAGCAAGATATGTTCGTAATTTTTTTTAGGTTTTCTACTTCAAAACAATAGGAGTATCCAGTTTTTGAATTTCTGATCAGATAATATGATATTAAACATTGGCTTATTTCTTTTTTTCATTTTTCTTTTCCAAAACTAGTTGAATAGTACACTTAGTATTACTTGTTTAAATCTTTCCATTAATGTTTAGGACTGCAACTGGTTAGTCTCTTATTGACATATGTGCATACTGTGCGTATTGCCTCGATATAGCCTTAATTCACAAGCATTGTAATCAAAAATGGTTAGTGGCGAAACACGCGTCCTTGCTATCAGGACTCAGTAGCTGAGTGGATAACGCGATGGTGTTTGAAGCGAAAGATACTGGGTTCGAGTCTCGGAGTTAACATCAACTCTAAGATGCTTGTATATATATACAGTTGACGAATCCCAGATAGAACAAAACGCGCTCCCTGGATTCCACTGCTAGCCACTATCCGTCTTTGCTTACAATAGTTGAATAGTATTTGCAGTGAAAGATTTTATAGCGCCAAAATAGGTTAACAACTAGAAATAATCTTTTGGAATGAAATAAACCATTACACAATTCATAATGGCTAATAACTGCTAACTTTACTTGGCACAAAAATTACAGCATATGTTACAGTATTATTAAATTTATTACTTGTGTTATATTACTATTCATCATCATTTCAGTTCTTAAATGAGATTACGCGATAATGTTTTCCTGTGAATATGCAATTCGCACTGTTAGTGATAAAGAGTAAGTATTAATTAAAGCTGTGACCAGTCTTTTTATTGAAGTAGTTAAATCTCTGGTGAATCAGTATTTTTAACATTTTGTTTAAATCAATGTAAATTTATAAATGAAGACATATTCTTCAGTTTGTAGAAGCAGTAAATCATTTTTCAGCTAATATCGATTTAGCCAGTAAACAATACAAATTAAAATGTGTAGTACAGTCCATTTATATACAAATTATATCATAATACTATATTCCAGTAGAGTTTGATGAACATTGATACTAACTATTAATAATATACAAAGTATTTCAATTTCATTACCTGAAAATTTGGTAGATAAATGTTATATCCCGTGGAGATTTATGAATGGTAACTTTGAGAACTATTTATGGACCAATATGATAGGCATATTTCCTATTGTATAATTGTTAAGTAACTAAACTATTCATATTCCCATCCCTCTTATTATAAGCTTTATTTTGATCTATGAACTAATATTACACGATTTACCATTCTTGAGTTATTCATAGTCCATTAATTACTGTTCCTCCTATTCACAGCCAATTTTGGCGAAATGTTATTTTCTTTTTTGTGGTACGATGTGGTTAGTTTGATTGGCATATAAACCCAGTATGTTTGAGAATAATAATTCATATTGCAGAGGCTGTTATTGATGTTGTGGACTTAACTGGCTGGACCAGGCAGAAAGCAGAACTGAAAAGTACTCAAGACTACTCATACGGATATGGTAGATCATTACTCAGATGGATAATTCACTCCTCTCTAATTGGCGGGAATCAGCACGTTCATAAATCAAACAGGGCACGCACGCAATCAATCAATATAACAATAAGTGACATATAATTAAAATTATCATGATAATGCTTGATTCTTGGTTTATGAACGTTTATATATCAATTTTAAGTTTGTATTACAAAATTGCTCAGCTGAAGAATATTTATTTAGTACAAAACAATAGTTAGATGCTAATAGCTTTGTACTCTAAATGGATATTTGTTTAACTCCTATTTTGAAATGATCGAAAAATGATTTTTTTTTAAAATCCAAAGCAATCCATAGAAGCCTTAGATCAGGTTTTTTAGCTGCTTGTTAATCATACTCCAGACATGTTAACAAAATGTGCTCACCTGGTATCAACTATTCTAGAATTCAAAAAATGTTATCCTTGAATTGTTTCTAGCTTGAAATTATTCATTTGTAGACTGCTTAATGAGTAAAGAATCACTGAAGACATTTTATGTTACTATGGTTTAGTTGTAATAACGGTTATACTTAAGGAAGGATAAAATCAACCGTTATTTTGCCATAAAACTCTAATAGTTAAAATTTTTTTAAAAACCTGATTTTAATGTACATTAAAACAAACAATCTTAGTGATGCTTCATCGAATAATTGAAATATAAATTGGAAATTTCAGTTTCAATAAATAATATATGATCATCTTATGGTATAGCCTCAATTATATTCAGTTGATCTACACTCTATAGTTCAGATTATTAAAATTAGGGGAATGTTAAGCAGTATAATGAATTGTTTCCATTATGAACATGTGTCTGAACAGAACGTGATTTAATTTGTAACTAGAAGGATGTTTCTGTTTATTGATAATATGAAGTCACTGCATAGACTGTAATATTCTATTTATCTTTTATGAATAGACTTAAGAAGGTAATTCTAATGTTCTTATCGACTTTTCAAGACTAACTTAACGAGGTTGTATATATAACTAATAAAACTAAAGTCTCCTGAAGCATTTTAACCCACCAAATTTAAAGTCAGTCGAATATGTAATGTATGTGACATTGACTAGTTTCATCTTGACTAAATATTTAAAAATGATACATTAATATCTCATTTTTTTGTAATTTTACTCACTTGAGTACTTTTCTTTCCTATCCAGAAATGAACATTATAGTCATAATCATTGCCAACTTTCCCTATATTCAAGATAATATATGAATCTCCAGAATAAAAGGTTCCAAAATCATCTGGTTTTACGACTTCTAGATTAAATTTCTTTTAGTACAATAAAAAATATTTGAATGTTATATAATTTGTTTTAAATAATAAAATCATAATAATTACAATTCAATGAATAATTGGTAAACTAACTAAGAGTGATAAATATCTCAGTGATAAAAAAAAAAAATCAGAAGGGACGTTTCGTGGAGATTTCAGTAATTTAATGGTTCGAATCATGAGTCAATTAACTCTAGACTAACATGGAAAACCTGGAAGCACTGGATGGCCGTTCCTTTCTATTGTGGGACTCCTCATCTACGATCCCGCCTCTCCATATTCGAACTGAGGACCTATCAGTTAGACATTTACACCGTCGGATGCCGGCTCAGTAGTCTAGGGTTTAAGCGTTTGCGCGCGAGACTGATAGGTCCTAGGTTCGAATCTCGCGAGGTGGGACAGTAGATGTGCACTACTGAGAAGTCCCATAGTAGGACAAAACGACCGTCCAGTGCTTCCAGATTTTCCATGGTGGTCTAGCTACAACTGACTCATGAATTTGAATAGTATTAAGTTGTTATTTTCTCTTGTTGATGTAATCTTCTTAAATGCATTTGTTATTTAATAATTAGGGAAAGCAACCATCTGAGTCACGACGCAATTCCTCAAAGAAAATCCTGAAGGCCAAAGGAGAAGAGGAAGACCAAAGAGCACATTACGCCGAGAAACGGAGACAGACGTGAGAAGAATGAACAAAAATTGAATAGAACTAGAAAGGAAGGCCCAGGACAGAGTGAGTTGTAGAATGCTAGTCGGTGGCCTATGCTCCATTGGGAGTAACAGGCGTAAGTAAGTAAGTAATCATTTTAGTTAAAATATCAAGTAAAAAATAACTTACAAAATTATTAATCTGATTAAAAATTATATTATTTAACCATTCTGTGTTTAAGAAAAGGTATTAATAAAAGTTTTATCATTGTATCTACTTAATATATAAAATCTTGAACAAAGTTATACTGAGAAACAAAACTCAATGATTACAGAGTGATAGTATACAATCTTCAATAATGGTATTAGTTTGATTTTTATGTTGTCTCCTTTTTATATATGATTAAATATAAGTAATGTTTCTAAGTTTCAGATTAAGGTAATTAGACTAGAAGTTTCGAGGTGAATGAAGTATATTCAAGTGCTGATCATAACAAGAGTGAAATCCTGATTTACATTTTTAACTGTCAATAAATGAGGTTCAATTGAATTTATTCTTTGAGTTTATACGTAGATTTGGCAAGTTCTGACTAACATGATAAAAAAAGTATTTAGCTTATAATTTCGAATATTTGAATAAGAAGTTGAAATATTCATAAATTTTAAGAAATACTAATAAAAAGCCATTTAACCTGCTTAGGTTATGTCTAGGGACTTCTGGGTCTAAATTACGTTTACTATGGTTGCTACCGTGATATTGTGGTCAGTCTTGTTCATAATAGTGACTTAGTTGACAGGGAGTAAGTAGAATCGTGTTCTCCAATTCCTAATCATGGCAGCAATTCCAGCTAGAATGTTGATTTTTAGTTCAATGTAAACTAATTAAACTATGTATTATATGTATTATAGTCGTATAGTACTATTGTTTAAACAGAAATGTGGTAATAGTAGATCTTTTCCATTGATTTACAAGCATTTTCGAGAAAAGCTGCTCCCAGAGTGATTGTCAACTCTGAAATGCAGATAAATCCATATGACGAGTCCTAAATAAGACAAAACCCGCGTCATTGATTCCACTTTTAGACACTTTCCGTCTCTGTTTACAAAGTTGCTCTGAGTCAATGAGAAAGATAAATCAGAAAATATGAACTTCGAAAGTTGTTCACTTCCTCGTGTTACAAGGCATACAATTACCCAGATTAAGGTTCTTTAAGGAAAGCATAGAGCCCACCGAATTCTCAACGATTCATAAAGATTATGTAATATCAGTTTCAACTTAGTATATAATATATATTGAGAATCTATAGTAGTAAACCATTTCATCGTTTAGTATTTACAGGATGTTTGCTTTACAGCTATTTGAGAAGTTTCACTGGTTCACACGACTAACAACATAAAAACTCTTCCCAGTACTTTTAATATTTTACGCTTGTCTTTTTCAGTGTTTTTATCATCATTTATGTTAATTACAGTTTTATCATCATCCTACTGACTTCAATGGCACTGTTTTATAAAATACTACTTTAAATTATTCAGTAAATACTTACAACTGAACTTAAATAGGAATGATATATTTGTAAAATCTCAGCGAATGAATTTGAAGTAAATCCAACGTTTCGCCTGGCAATCCGGTCCAAGCTATTTCAAGGAATTGTACCAGGCGAAACGTTGGATTTACTTCAAATTCATTCGATGAGATTTTACAAATATATTATTCCTATTTAATTTCTTACATCAACTCGGCACTCAAATATTGTGAAACTATTCGCTCTAATCTAGGCGAAAGTTCTTATACTTACACCTGAACTGTTTAGCTTTAATTAGCTAAAATCTCTGTTAAACCTGATATTATCTTAACAATCAGTTTCTAGTATTAATAATTATGAATGTTTATTATAATTCCTAGATGTATGTATAATTAGTTTAGAAATTTAGAAAAACTAATTTAAACCAACATTTATTCTCCAAACCAAAAGAGTTGATTCTTTGATAGATCTTATTTGTTGCCATGCTTTTTCAGTTTCAGCACTTTCCTCTAAATTAAAAAAAAGAAACAATTTATTTTAAACAAATATTTTGAATATTGATTAAATAGTTCATGTGTTTATTGTCATTTAATATACATAAATGTAAGATAGTATTCATACTATAGTGAACAAGAGTATGAGTGGGGAAAAGTGAATGTATTCAATCACAAAATTACAGAATATCTTAGTAAAATTTGAGAACCATGTAGTAAATAGTTAATTTGCAAACTATCAATCAATGGTCTCAATCTTGATTGTTCCCCCTACAAATATCAGTCTATCGTCTCCGATTATTATTGTTCATGTGTGTGAAGAGGAACAATACAGTAACTTTAAGCTTTCTGACGATAATTTTTCAACGCTAAGTGTTCTACCTTGAACTATCAAGCATATTAAATATCTACAATTCTACACGAACTCATGGCTAATGAGAAATTGAGTTAGAGTAACAGTTTGGATAGTCAACTATTTGATTGTTGTTTTCCATTGTGACTTTATTCATACATTTATCTTGGAGTCTGAATTCATCAAAAATTATGATGTAAATAAATACCAAGAAGAAAATTAAATTTACATTTTTAGTTTTATGATTCTTGTAATATTTGTCATACTAATATCGGATTGTATGAGAATTAACTTTCTGTAAATGTTTCCGGACTTTAGATATCTTTTACTTAATGACAGGAGACCAAAGGTCGTGGGTTCGAATTCCGCGAGCTGTATCGTGGATGCGCAATACTAGGACGTCCAGTGCTTCTAGGTCTTCCACAGTGACCCAGCTTTAAATGACTCATGAAGTCAACTATTAAATTAGTTACATTCTTGTTTAACACTGTAATAATTAAAAAAAAAATTAAGCTATCACTGAATTTCATACTTACTTTTGACAGACCTTTCTTGATCTGAACCGAATAAAGCCATATTAGTATCTTTCCAATTATATTCCTCCATTGAAATAAAGCAGTCAGTTATAATTTTATCACAACACTAATAAGACCAGGAAAGATATTTACCACAACAACAACTACTTTTACTCAAAAATTTATAATTATATATATATTTCGTGAATACAATAATCAATAGGTCTAGAAGTTGAATATGTCTGAATAGTTGGTTGTCTGTCATACCACTAAGAATAACAAAATATAAGAGAAACTGTTGTTATAAGCAAACCATTGTCCAGTGATTTTGTTGATAAATAATTTAACAAAAAAAATGTAAAATATCTAACAAATAATTGATTTAGAGTACATCTTTATTTTTATTCTTTACTACAATATTGATGTAATTATTTTATTACTGAATTTCTACTGAAGATGTTCGATACAATCTTCATTTTACAAAAAGATCAAGTCAAAGTTAGGGTGCCCTGGTACGGCCAAAGTCGAATACAGTCAGATCTCTCTCTCACACTCCAGAAATGATACCAAATGGACACGTGTATACAACTACTGTCGAGAAATTCATACTCACTACCTTCTCGCACCACAATTGTTCTTTACAAAATTGAGAAGACGATAAGCGAATGTCCGACGACTAAATCGGGTTGGTGGATATGGAAGATCGACTCAACGTAGTTGAAAATCCCTGATCAAAAATCAATGGTGAACATGAACACCAGTACACTGAAAGAACAAATGGTGTATTAAACAATTGTTGTTCACCACCTACCATGGGAATGCATCTCCAAACGGTGCTCCACTGCCTTGTAAATCAGACCTTCAAATTGAAGGCTTTGAGTGTGACCTCATACGAAAACAACCTGCTACGGTTTGGACACCCGAGTAGCATCACAGTCCACACGCAAATCAAATGATGTGTGGTGCATATGTATTCGATGCCCCCTTGTAGCAACACATATTTTTTCAAACAAATAAATAATTTATTTCTCAATGATATGGCTTTATAGAAAAAAGGTCACTCAATGAAGAATTATTTTCGATTGGTAAACAAACCGTATGATATGCTTGTTCCGGATCTCAATGCTAGCAACTATCCATTTATGCTTACAAATGCTTGTGACTTAGTGATGATGATGATAATAATAAGACCATCCTCACAGCATGCACATACGCGATAACAGACTGATCAATTGCAGTCCTAAGCATCGAGTCTAACATTCAAATAATCAATTTATATAAATTAAAATTCACTACATTGCACAAACTAGTGACTATCATAACGTGATGGCGTTTGTAGTGAACGGTATTGGATTCAAATTCAGATACATTCAGCGAACACCTTAAATGAACTATTAGATAAAAGCACTGACGTTTTGGTGGAATTGACTAATAAAATAGAAACCGAAATATCAAATTAAATCATTCTATCTGTTTTCAGAAAGTCAGATGATGTTCTAAAGAATTACATTACTTGTTGAAGAAGTTTCCAGGAAATTATCCTACTAATTTCATGTTAAATCGTCTGACCTATTTGTATTTAGCAAATATAAATGAGTGAACGGAGAAATTATAGAAGTATAGCTATTTAAATATTTTAATCATCTAATTTATAATGGAGTATATAACAGAACGATATCACTAGATTGCAGCTCGGTAGCTTAAATGTTAAGCATTCCCCCGTGAGACCAAAGTTTTTGAACTCAATCACCTATAATGAATTCGTGGATCAGCACTGCTTGGTAGTCTCATACTAGGATGAAACTACTGTCAAGTGCTTTTTGGTTGTCTAACTGCGATCAATTTATGATACAATTTATAAAAAAGACAAATTGACCAAATCAAGTATCAATTATTGAAATAAATTAATATGTAACATTATGTATATGAATCGGTTAGCTAAACCACCCCATATATATAAGGTGATAAAACACGTGATTCTCTTTACTTTATATATTTCTGGTTTTATCATTCAATTTAATGATTAATATTATTAACAAAAAACATCAGGATATTGGTCGTCCGTAACTAATTACACATTTTACCGACATTTTTACAATTTTTAAAAAAGAACATAATACAATAGAATAAATTTATTATTTCAAAACTCAACCAAACTAATAACAAAGAATGAGAGTTGAGTTTAAACAAGAAAAGAAACTATGAAAAGAAGAAAACAAAATTGTTTTTTTTACAAAAATCATAATCATTAAATTCATAAGCATTCCAGTACTAACTTGGAAATACGTTTCATATTGACTATTTTTTCTAATTATTCATTCATTATAAAACGTACGATTGAAACCTCTAAGGTTATTTTATATTAAATCCAAAAAAGGATTGTTCATTTTAATAGAATTTATCCGGGTTGATTAATTTTAAAATAAATTACACATTATTATAAATACTTGGCCTATATACCTTCAGAGAGAGTTTTTGTGGATATTATAGTAAGTTAATAGGTGAATTCATAATTCAATTAAAGCTAGACTACCATAGAAAACCTGGAAACACTGGACGGCCGTTTCATTCTACTATGGAACTCCTCTGCAGTGCGAATTCACGATCTCGCCACGTGAGATTCAAACCCAGGACCTATCGGTTTCCTGGATGGTGGCGCGATTTCGTGGTTTGATCGAAGTTGGAGATTAAAACTGTTGGATATATATATATATATATATATATATTTGTTATTTTATTAGTCAATTCCACCAAAACGTCAGTGCTTTTATCTAATAGTTCATTTAAGGTGTTCGCTGAATGTATCTGAATTTGAATCCAATACCGTTCACTACAAACGCCATCACGTTATGATAGTCACTAGTTTGTGCAATGTAGTGAATTTTAATTTATATAAATTGATTATTTGAATGTTAGACTCGATGCTTAGGACTGCAATTGATCAGTCTGTTATCGCGTATGTGCATGCTGTGAGGATGGTCTTATTATTATTATCATCATCACTAAGTCACAAGCATTTGTAAGCATAAATGGATAGTTGCTAGCAGTGAGATTAAATATTCCTTGACTTATTTTTCTTATCTTATGCCTTCATACCCAGTTTCTTTTTTCAGAATGTTTATGCTTAGTGTTGTCCGTGAATATGGTGAAGATTGAATCATTTAACTCCCTAATAAAAAAGCTTGCGACACCTAAACAAATAAAAAAACTAGTAAGCTGAACTAGCAAATGTTTTCTCCAATTTTCTTATCGAATACGTTTTTTTCGGTAATCTAAATATCGAAGAGATAAGAAATAATTTAATAGTTGAATTCATGAGTGAATTAAAACCAGACCACTATCTAAAACCTGGAAGCACTGGACGGCTGTTTCATCCTGGCATGGGACTCCTCAGCGGTACGCATCCACTGTCCCACCCCGCGAGATCTGAAGCCGGAACCTTCTGTCACACGCGCAGACGCACAACCTCTACGTATTTCCCGGAGTTCTTGTGAGAAGTAGTGACCAGTAGAATTCAGCCGGGTCTTTTGTGAGATAGTAACTCACTGAAGACGATGGTGGACGGTGGTGCGCTTTCGTGGTTTGGTCGAAGTTACATATTTGCACCGTTGGATGCCGGATCAGTGGTCTAGAGGTTAAGTGGTCGTGCGCGAGACCGAAGGTCTTGCATTCGAATCTCGCGTGGCGATATCACGGATGCGCGCAGCTGAGGAGTCCCGTAGTAGAACGAAACAGCAATCCATTGTCTCCAGGTTTTCCATGGTGCTTTGGTTTTAACTGACCCATAAATTCAACCATTAACTTACTATAATATCCTCAAGAAACACCTTTCGGATGAGAAGTAGCTTGAAATTTTAATCAAACAGTGTACATTATGCTGGTTATTATTTATTTAAACATATAAACGTTGGTACAAGGGGACATCAGATATATATGCGCCGTACAAATCTCATTTCATTTGTGTGAAGGCTGTGATAATGCCAAGGTGCCCAAACTGAAGCGGGTGGTTTTCTTAGGGGGCCATACCCGGAGCCTTCGACTTAAAGGTCTAACCCACAAGGCAGTGGAACATCGTAAGGAGATGTAGTCCCATGGTAGCCGGTGACCAACAATTGATTCATACGCCATTTGTTCTTTCAGGATACTGGAGCCCACGTGCATCATTGGTTTGGAATCAGTGTTTCCCAACTCCCCTATGTGGACTTTCCGCGTCCACGAACCCGGTTAAAGAGCCGGACATTCGTTTTTCGTCCTCTCATTTTCGTAAAAAACAGTATTGCCACGAGAATGCAGTGAGTAGGACTTCCTAGGCAGAGTCTATATACGCGTGGTCATGTGAGAGCATTTTGAGGAGAGTGGACTCTTCCCACTCTCAGCCGTACCATGGAATTCGGGGGCTTATGCTGGTTAACATCTATTAGTTTAAATTATATATTATCATAGATCTGAATCACTGAACAATATTCGATCTCCATACTCTAATAACTATTAGAAATGCTGATTAAATTCGTTATAACTTAACAATATGTAATCTCATATTTGATATAATTGTATTAATCAATGTTAAATATCTTTCTAATATCAATTAAAACCCTATTAAAATAGGTTCATTTACATTTAGTCAAAGAATTGTATTATACTAATATTAAAGAAAACTATCTTTGTAATAAAAATACTTTTGAAAAGGATAAAATAGTTTCTAAATTAATTGGTCTTTTTTTTAGTAACCACATAGGTAACAAAAAAGATATAAGCTATTACTGGGAAAAAAATGAAAAGAGTATAATCATTGTGAACTTGTAAAAGAAACTATACTCTAATATATAAACTATTTATGAAAAAAAGATATTTTGATATTAAATATAAAATTTAAGTTAAGCTAATATCAGCTAATATCATTGTAATCATTTCAGTTAACTACAAAGAATAAAAAAAAAAACAATAATACAGTGACTGGTTGCTATGTGTGTTTATTAATATTAAGAAATAATTTCATACAAATCCAGTGATATAAAAGTCTATTTATTTGTTTGTTATTTTTGTTTGTATTTTACTGTAGATAACTTGTACTTCTATCTCTGTCCCATGCTTGTTCGAGTTCTTCTGAACTTTGATTAGAACCAATAACAGTAACTGGAATGAATGGATGTCTTGTGTTTTTTAAGTAATGCTAGATTTTTTTTTTAAAAAAAAAGAGAAAAAAAGAAACAGTGTTAATATTCATTTTAATTAAATGACAGAAAATGAATTTCTAAAATGTTGATCTTCATCAATTGAATAAGCATGACTAATCTGTTTCATCAATGTAATTTTTTTCATTGTATATAAATTAATTTTTAAGTTCAAGCTTTACATTGTAAATGTAATGATTGACTCATGAATAGAATGAATGAGAAATTGGTTTACTAAAAGTGTTTGTTTAGGTTGAAATTTCAAACGTCTTGATATGAATTCAGTAATCTAAAAGGACCATAAATATAACTTGAAAATATGTTCTTTACAGGGTCAAAGTAATCATTTGTTATCTTTCAACTGATATTACTGAATGAAAAGTTACTTGATTTTATTTAAAGATATGTTTAAAGATTGGTATGATCTAGTTCTATTTCATGTCCCCTAAAATAGTGATCGTATTCATGTATGAACTAATTTTTTTTATACAGTACACAATTTATTTTTGATAAAGTTTTGTTCTCTAAGCTGGATGGTTCGGTCATGGAGCTTTCATCGTCCTTGTGAATGACATCATCAGTACAAACTTCTGGTAGAAGTTCATCTAATTCTGTCCTATATAACACACTACAATAAATATGAATTCCCATGATTAAAAAAATAACTAAGGACGACTTTAACAAAAAGATTGTGTTATTTCAAAGCAAATAGTATAAAAATATGGTAATCGAACATTATCTCTGTTCTGTGTGTTACTTGTTCAACATTATATTCATAAGCTAGAATTCTGTACATTATAACTAAAAATTAGGTTGACAGATTGGTATACTTTGTATGATTATAACTAAATCAAATTAAATGAATACAAAAATTAATTATCTCACATGTGCATACGATAAAGCGTTTTGCTTTTCACACGGTAAACATCTACTTCCAATGTAAACAAATAAATGATATCCTGCATCGATGAGAAAGACATCATCTTCATTAACTGATCTTTTAGGGAGATGATTTTTCACAACTAAATCAAATGATAGATTACCGTCTTCATCAGATAGCCTGTAAATAAAAAGGAGAAATGTTCAGATATAGTTTTCAGTGGTTCATGTTATTGAAAACAGTCCTCATTTTAAAGATTTAAATGTCAATGAGCTAGGATCTTAAATTTCTTACGGAAGAAGTTATATAAACTATTTTCTTTAATCTATCAAAATGACGGTAAAAATTTAATATCTAATTTATTTGATTCAAACAGTTTATTTTCTGAGCCTCAGAGTTCATTGATTAATTGAAAGCAATCTTTTGTTTTGCAGACAAGTAAACTGTAACGTGAACTGCATCAACAATATATTTCAAAGCCTTAAATCACGCATATAAACTTTTACTGAGAGAAATGAATTTGACGTTCATGAAGTATTCATAGTGACACTAGTCAGTTCACAAATATAAACAATGAGTATGAAACCTGTCTATATTAAAACTACACATAGAAGGCTACTCTATTCAAGTAAGTGGGTCGTTGATACATTTCGTGATTATTCCGAATTAACTGACCATCTATCAACAGTTCTCACTGGCTAAATACTTGCTTACGACTTATCAGAACCCTCAAAGTACAAAGCTTTGAACATCTGTCTTAATAAACTAGTTGATTGATTATCTATTTCTTAAGTGACCAGTTAGTTGTAAGCACTTTAATTCGTCATCATATACAAAAGTAAAATTGGCGTAACGATGACGCCCTAGATTTGATATGATAGTCCTTTAGATTATGCTCTCACTCAACTCATTGACATAGTAATGTGACAGTTTTAAATAACTCAAATTGTAAACTTTCTTTTGACTCGGTAAGCAGAGATGGATAGTGGCGAGCAGTGGAATCCAGGACGCGCGTTTCGTTCTATTTGGGACTCGTCAGCTGGATATACCTGCATCTCAGAGTTGATGTTCACTCTGGGACTTATCCACTCGGCCAGAGTGAACATCAACTTTGAGATGCAGGTACATCCAGCTGACGAGTCCCAAATAGGACGAAATGCGCGTCCTGGATTCCACTGCTAGACACTATCCATCACTGCTTATAATGCATGTGAATTTAGACTATATCGAGGCAATACACACAGTATGCACATATACCAATAAGAGACTGACCAGTTGCAGTCCTAAACATCAATGGGAAGATCCAAACAAACAATACTAAGTAAATTTTTTTTGACTCATTTCCTACGTCTTCATTTTTCCTGCTTAATAAACTCACAGTTTATCAACCACAAATCACAAAGTTCTGTGTGCGAACTTGTTGGAACGTATGGATTTTAATAGGTTACCGTCGTAGAATTCATATACATAATCTCATGACCCGTGAATTAAAATCAGGAAAGATGCAATCACTATTCTTGATTTCTGCTGTCTTGATTGAGATGAGAGCTTAACAATAAGGGAATTCTATGCAATCCTAATTGTGTTAAAATTCTGTAAAGTAGAATAAAGTTTTATCATAAATGAAAGTGAATTATAATAGAAGATGGTTATTTCACTTGCGCTTTTTTCTTATTATAATTGTTGAATTGGTTCTGTGAATATCACTTCAAATATAAATTTATTTATCATACTTCCATTACTGAACATCAATTTCATGCTGGTCGGAAGCCTATGCTCGTTTGGGGGTAGCAGGCGTAAGTAAGTAAGGTTCGCTTTGTGAATATGAATAAAGTCAAAACAAATAAAATATATTCATACTATTCCGCCCCAATTGTTGTTTTAATTTTATTCAAACATCAATTTAGTAATTGCTATTTTTATTGACTTCCAGAAAAAGAAGAACCATGAAAAATCTCATGATGATGATCATCATCAACTGTTTTTATTTAAGGAAAAAATTTTCAAAAAATTATTTCGAAAGCCATTCCAGTGGATAAATTAAAAATTATAAATTATAAATTGAGAATTATTTGTATAAACAAGATATATCACAACGGGGGTTTTGTGGAGATTTTATCAATTTTATATAGTTGAAATCATGAGTCAATTGAAGCTAGACCACCATGGAAAACCTGGAAACACTGGACGGTCATTTCGTCCCAATGTGGGATTCCTCAGCAGTGCACATCCACGATCTCGCCTCGCGGGATTCGAATCCAGGACCTACCAGTCTCGCGAGCGAGCACTCAAACGATAGACCACTGAGCTGGGCGGCATCTCACTGTGTTAATGTCTAACTTCAACCAATCCACGAAATTGAGCAACGATTCACCATTGTCTTCAGTGAGTTATTATCTCCCAACAGACCTGGCGAGACTGGTTGGTCCTGGATTCGAATCTCACGAGGTGGGGTCGTGGACACGCACTGCTGAGTAATCCCTCAATAGAACGAAACAGCCGTCCAGTGATTCCACGTTTTCCATGATGGTCTAGCTTTAATTGACTCATGATCTCAACTGTATAAGATATAAATACTCAAACATAATAAAATTGTAACTAACTTGTAAATACATTTTGTTGATTCACAATACTTTTTGGATCTATAAACTGGTTTATCTGGCAAATATTGCAAGAATTCATCCTGGAATAGAAATTCATTCAAGAAAGAGATATTCATGAGTAAAATATTTTCAGAGAGAAATATTATTAGTGCTCAAAATGGATATTTAAAATATAACATAATTTGAAAGTGTTGAAACAATATGAAAGATGTTTTTTATTATCAAAATATGATTTATAATTATTCTTACTTTCATTTTAAGCTATTTTTATTGTTATATACTCAATAAGTATAGTTTGATATGCATTTTTAACTCATGTATAATTTGATACTACTCTTAAGTATCATAAGTAGTTCAAATAGATTCAGATACTTAGAAACATTTACGAAGAGAAAGTAATCATTCTAAATATTACTAAGGGATTTTCTTTTCAGAATTAAATTTTCTGTATCGCCAGGATCACTCGTGACCCAGGCTCCTTTTTAGGTTTCTCAAGTCGAAGTATTTTTCCGTGATGTTCTTGTAAAATTACTTAATATCATCGTCTATATGACCAAATCTCTTCTTTTTTTCCTGAGAATTATTCTATTTTAACTATCATTTTTCATCTTACGTCTTCGGTATCGTCCACATATGTCACCGGAGGCAATGTTCTGAGTTCATGAGATATTATTTCAGCCCTGTTGAAACTGAGTCTCAAACTAAATACTGGAGCTTTGAATGTTGAAAACCCGTATCCAGTATATCAACAGAATTTACCAGTTACGGTTTAAGAATCTCATCCCAGAGTAATATGTTATATGTCGAAACACTATACAGGACCCATAGTGTTTATTCACTTGAACTCACCCAACCACTGCAAGGTGAGAACGATTTACTTTTCGTATGTCTGGAAACCCGACAGAAACTTCGTCCGACTTCTACGGTGTACGTATAGAGCTATGTATGACAGCAGAACAAGTAGTTCTTGATTAGATTCCTGTCAGTAGTCGCGTACATGCTATCTATTTAGGTGGTGCAGCAGGGATTTTGAAAGATGAGGACTCATACCATTACATTTTCATGGTTTCTGTCTACGCCTCCAGCGCCTACAGCTCAGACGATGAAAAAAGCGGAATTTACAGGAAGCCGTAGGACTTCTTTCAGAAAGCTAAACACTCAAACACAGTAGCCATAGCAAGTGAGTTTAACGTCCAAGTGGGTAAACTAAACCAGGCTGATAATCACATCAGCGTATCTTTTAACATCTGAACTCATAGAATCGACTATCAGAGATTATCAAGGACACTCACAGTCCCCATCTCAATTAATTTTTGCATAGTTATTCTCTTTAAAATAACACTGCCGTAGCCTAGATTTCAGAGAATCGATCACCTTCCTGGAAACCCAGTCATCTATAAAGAATACAGAAATAGAATAGTGCTATTTGGTCAAAATGCTGATTCCTGAAACTAGTTAGTAATGATCCAAGGATTATTTGGATGTATTTTATTCCCTCTGAATCCAAAATAATGCTTTAAAACTAGTCTGCTTTAACCCCTAAACTAATGAAGGGATTTAAGAAGTTGAGTGCGTTGGCTAATTTCTTTGTCATGGGAGTTTCATCAACCCTGGTGTGTTGACGTCTGAAGAAATTTCGACACGCATTCTGAAGGCTATGGTGATCTTCCCCAACTTTCACTAACTGTGAGGTAGTCGACATGTTCATCTGCCAATCATATGGAAAATACACTAAATGGTAGTATTATAATTTTGAGACATGGATTATGAAAGTAGAAGATATGTGGACGCTGAAGGTCTTTAAATCAGTTCCTGTGTATCATGGAACGTTTAAACTAGAAGTATTGAGGTCAGGTAGCGGGTACTAGATTAATGAGGACATAGATTTTCATCAGGACGTGACGTATACATAACTAACTCCTACCTGGACATGCTATTTTAGCTGGTGTAGGAGTAGATTGAAAGCTAGGGTTGGTCAAACAAAGACATAGCATCAGTTCATGAACTCATCGAGTGTTGTTTTGAAACACGCGGGTTAATGCAGAATACCTGGTTGGGGTGTCCATGATTACAGAGATAAAAAGTTGGAGACGTTGGATGACATGACTCAAGATTGGTCACAGTAACACATGTTGATTTACTTTTTGCCTTTTATTAGATCTAAGATCCCTATAATCTTCCACACATTCCTTTTCATTCTACTCTGTTAAAACGCGTTCTCAACGCCTAACCTTCTTTTAAAGCTAAGTTCTACTGAGTAGGAATAGAAACCTGATACATGCTCTATGTTCAATAACTAGAAGAATCCGTACAGAGGATACGATTTATTTACTCAGCGGAGCTACCGACTGCGTTTTCCGCCTGGCGTTTGACGCAAAGATGTGTCAAGTACAAATTCTCATTTAAAATTACTCACAAAGCAATACGAACTGGTTAGAATAGTAGTCGGATAAGAAACTTTTACATATCGTAAGCTTTGATGATTCATTGATTCAAACCTGATCATTATGTTCAGAAGCGGTGTATCTAATCCCTTAATTTGCCATGGTTCTAACAACTCTTGTTACCTTGTTAATTATTTCTAAACGTGTTCATTTTGTTTATCTTCCTATATTTTCTAGGCGAACAATTATCGTCCACATCTTTGTTTGATGTCTTATTTTGTTAATTTTTTCGACGCTTGTACATTAATATTTGTATATTCCTTATAATCCTTTCATAAATTGTTCCTGTTGCGTCATGCCATTTATTAAAACCCTTTGTTGATGACTCAACAACATTATGTTTAACAAATAATTAAAAATACGATTGTACAACCCTAGTAAACCATACCATCAAAAAGAATGTTTTCTTCGCTGAGACGTCTTCGTTTTGTCTAATTTCTCATTATCATTACATTAGCGTTATTTCGTTTCCTTTCCTATTCATATTTTTAAGTTCATCTCATCGTATTAATTTGGCATGGCAGCTTTGGTGAATTCGCATTTGTGCAAAGCTCTACATTGATTGTAACTGACTGACTGACCAAACACAATGTAATATACAGGGTGAGTGTCGTGAAACAAAGATGAATTATGTTTTATTTTGCTTGTTCATTGACAATGTTAAAGTTGGATTTCTAAAACTGACCTCTGAAATGAATTAATTCATTTTCATACCTAGAAGAGGTTGTTGATAAGTTTACTGACTGCCACAGAGACGAATCTTCGAATTACTGGAGCAATATCAGTTTTCTTAAGATGTCTAAATAGTTAGTATAGCAAGATATTGTAAAAATTAATAAGTATTGTAGTTTATATCATGAACTTACAATAATTAGACAATCATTGGGAACCGAAGAGCTTTTTACAGCTCCAAGGCCAAAAGGTCATGGGTTTGACACCCAGCGGGGTAGTAATTGTCACTGTTATCTTATACTGAATTAAAACAGCTATCCGAAACTCCATAGTTTTCAGAGGTTGTTTAGTTATAATCGGTTTATGAAATAAACCCTATTATTCATATAAACCAGTGACTTCCGGTTGGCTGCCAGGAAATATCTATCACAATTTTATCATCAAGAAAGTAATTGGTGCGGGTTGTAAATAATTATATCACATCATAAAGAACAGAGGAAAGAAGGCTGAAAAGTCCTAGCATTGTAAAAACTAATGAAGCAGAAAAACTTACGCTACTATTTGTAAACAATTCGTCCAATACAGCAGTTTTACAACGTCCATTACGTTCGCTACTGACTTGTAATAAGAATTGAGCAGCCTAAATAAAACGATGAAAACAAGTGAATAGAAGTTTTTTGTATACTACTTTAAATTACTTATTACTATTTTTTTTAGTCAAACATCAAAGTTTACTTGCTTGATTAATGTTCAGAGTAAGTGTTATGTTAACTACGAAGTTAGCAGGGAAAAAAACAACTCCACTTCACAAAAATATGTTATTTTAAATTTCTTCTAATTTTGACAAATCATGATAACTTGGTTGAAATCGCACTGAACTCTTATTGATGTCTTAACTATCTCATTTCTTAACTTTATCCATGTTGTTCGTTGCATACACATTTGTGATTTTTTACGCGACATACGTGTATTATTATACACAATCAGTAAATTAGTTGTTTTTATTTTGAAACTTTTGCATTTTCCTTTATAAGTTAGTAGTTATTTTCGGGAATGATTAGGATCCCTTAGTCCAGAAATGGTAATGGTTGAACTAGATATCTATCTTCTAGCATATTTCAAGTAATTCTCAAGTGTCTTGATCATAGGTTGTTGATCTTAACTGTTACGTAATATCACGTTCTTATATAGAACAGATAAATTACGAACTCAACAACTCGTGATCTTAAGAAATACATTTAAGTAAAAGATGTATATTACCGAAGTGTTACTCATAATTAATTAGAACTTACATTATAACGCTTCTCCTTGTTACTTTTCGATCCGTTCCACTGATATAGTTTTGAACCAAGATCAAGAATAAAAACGTCAGTAGAATCTAATGAATTAATCGAAAGATCCACCTCTTGTACTTGAAATCTTCTTCCACCTTCTTGAAGGAAATGCAACAATCTTGGCTGATATTCATTTGGAGTTGTTCGACGGAAACCAGATTCAATTCCACCGTTCAGTATGCTACAAAAAAATCAATGAGTTAATAATAGACTTATAGTTTGAATAATTTGCATACTGTCAAGCCTGAAAGGTATTATAATTTCATAATGATTTGACTTGTTGTTATTCAGTCAAAACTCATTAACATAAAATTATCTCTCTCATAAATGAAAAGCAATTCAATTTGAAAATGATACAATCTTTATTTCACCTTATGAGATTGTTGATTACTTAATAGTTGAACAGAAAAGAAAGATTGATAATTTTGACAGACAATACTTCATATTACTTCACATCAGAATGGTTGATGTAATAAAATGACCCATTTTGTAATTAGAAAGATTGAAAACAACAACAAATCTAATTTTTAAGCTCATTATTTTTAAAGATTAGATTTTGAAATGTTTACTTTGTAAGAGAGAATCTATTCCAGTACTATGCTTACACCTTTTTCTAATTCATACACCATTTGTTGAGTAACATACAAAAAAACTAAGGTGACATTCATTATAATGGGTCAGCATAATTTGCTACAGGTGTAATTTGACAATATATTATTCAGTCATGTTTTATTATCTGATGGTTGGTCAACACTATGTATCACAGTTATTTCACAATTATACACTTTTGAAGCAAAGATGGATAGTAGCTTGCAGTGAAATCCAGAACGAACGTTTCGTCCCATTTCGGACTCTTCATATGGATGTACCTACATCTCAGAGTTGATGTTCACTCCGGGACTCAAACCCAGTGCCTTTCGTTTCAAACGCCATTGAGCTATCCACTCAGCTACTGATTCCTGATAGCCACCTGATTGTACAATGGGGTGAAGTTCAATTCAATGGGTATTTTGATTGAGATCCAGCGAGCTGGATCGTGGATGCCCACCGCTGAGGAGTCCCATATCAGAACGAAACGGCCGTCCAGTGCTTCCAGGTTTTCAATGGTGGCTTAACATCAATCGATTCATGATCTCAATCAAAAATATAATAATATCCACAACATCATACTGATAATCACTTGGTAATTTTTTCTTGTATCTTCCCATTGTTGTTTACCACTGCAAATGATCAATCTCCTGTTGACATATGTGCATCCTGTGCGGACTGCCTCGATATTGCCTTAAGTCACAAGCTTTATAAGCAAAGATGGAATTCAATGTAACTTTTACCTAACAAATTAAATCCTAAGTAAAGCCAGAACAAACATGGATGCAGAATAATATGAATTGATTATATTTCGTGGCTTCTCATTAGCTGTTTACAACCATATATGTATTGAAAATTTTCATTAAAGTAAGATATAGTGTGAAACAATTGACATAGATAAATGAAAAGAATTGGAATGACAAAGGTTATTAATAATCACTCTATATATATGCATAGGAACAGGTAGGAGGTAATTTGGTGTTGCAATTCAAAAAAATATAAAGAGTGGGTGATGCATGAAATAAGTGAGGTTCAGAGACAGAAAAGATAAACTGTACAATAATTTTAGAGGTTATGAAAGACAATTATATGAACGAAGAATATTCTTTTCAATAATTTCTCATCAGGTTCAACAATTATAAATTAATAATCCATATAAAATTGGCTAAGTTTAAGGCAGAGTACATCATTTAAAAAACTGTAATATGTGAATCAAGGATTGTTTGTCATATAAAATAAAAATAAGATCGAATCGTTAATGTTGGGATGACTAACATGTAGTGTTAACTTGAATCGGTTTATAGGTGAAATAAAATCGTATGATAAATTATCAGAATATATATAGTTGACATGGGGGTGAGAGATAGAAAAATGGGATTCTTGTAGAAAAAACAAATTCTCGTCAAATGCTCTCTTTACAAGAAAATTAACTTTACGAGTATATTTAGAAGCACTTTTATTGTAAGTGAATAAAAAAAGTACATGTATGATACAAGGAAGTAGTCGGAGATTTCAACTGTAAGAAACCTTTATACATGAAATTACCATTCAACGGGGATGTAGCTAGTGAAACTCTGAAAGATAGGTTAACAAAAGTAATTAGTAGGACTTTCTACGCAGTCTATCTCGCATTGACTTTCTCGAGTTGACCAGTGATGTCTACTCAAATGAAGGATAAGTTACCTGAGTTGGCCTCCTCCATGTGCATTTATAGGTTCAGCTGCTCCTGTGGAGATAACTATATCGGGCGTACTACTAGGCAACTTAACCAACGAATGAGTGAACATCTACCAGCATGGTTTGGAAAGGGCCAAATAAAAACAATACGCAGTTCTATCTTGGCACATCTAATTGATAGTGGTCATATTGTTGATAAATTGAAATCATTTCAAGTGATCTATCGTATACCTCCATCATTTCCCAACGGAGTTCGCTCCCGTCTACTTCTTATAGCAGAAGCCATAGGAATTCGTACATTCCATCCCAATTTATGTGTACAGAAGAAATTCGTAACCCCCCTATCCCTTCCATGGCCGGACATAACTTAATAAATGACATTATTATTATTTGTAAACTTTTTTATTTTTATCTTAATTTGGTTATCTTTTTTTTGTGATTTTCTACCTCTTTCCGTTTGTATTCTTCACTGTCTATTTACTTACATACTTCTTATTACGTAATGATTTTAATGTTTTGTGATTACTATTCAGTCTATTTACCCACGTTTGACCTCTTAATTCTTATGTTTAATTATTGATAAGACTTTTGTTATCGTAATTTACTATTCTTACTACTATCAGTACACCTGTCTTCCCACTATCAACTTGTACTTTTAACTATTATTAGGCTTGGTAATGTATTCTATTTCATTGTGATTATTGACTCAAATAGCATTGATTGGTCTAACATTTTCATATAAATATTCATGTATATTAGAGTAAAGCCTGATGACGATCTAACTGAAAACAATTGTTCGCTTACATATGTTGTTCTAATTCTCACAATGGGAATCTTTAATATAATAAAAAAATTACTAAACGAAATTAACGTATGTAATATAATTTTCATTAGTTTTGCTTTGTTTCATACATGTTGTTGTTCAATAGATGTTTTCACAGAACAGATCGTTTGTAAAAAGATAACACATTTTCCAGTGTTATTGATATACCAAACAGATCTAAGGTAACAATTTATTGAAAACTAGGAAGCACTGAACATCTGTTTCATCCTAGTACGGAACTCCTCAGCAGTGTGCATCCACTATCCAACCACAAAAAATCTAGCTCATGACCTTTGGTCTGGTGAGTCGGAATCTATTGATGTATATTTCAAACTTAGATCACTTCATGATATTGTGCAAGCATCTTAAATTGTTGGCGAGACTATAACGAATCTTGAATGACCTTGAGAAATATTAACCAATCGGAAAACAGTCAGTATGGAGTAAAAATATTTTATACAAAACCAAAGAATAAAAGTGGATACACTTCTTTTTTATGGTCCAAAAATTTGTCAAGGTTAGAAAGGGGTTCAAAGGTTCCAAAATCGTAATGTATAAGGTAGAGGAACTCATTCATATGGCTGTATAATAGTCGGTCCCCAGAGCCAATGATAAGGTCGCAAAAACTCTCTCAGCCTCCGCCACAAATCTTCAATATTGTTAGTGTGTACTCCGGTTGTGCAAGTTTTTCATTTTAAATATGGATATATCCATACAATACTCATACCACTGAACAGCCGAAGCTTCAGTAAGATCGGCGATTACTGGAACCAATGTTACTGATGCTTTTATCATACAGTTCGCGGTAATTCTTATAATATGCTTTAGTCTTTAGAAAAAGGTTCCTATTCTAGCATACGCCTTCCTTGAACATATGTTAAATCGAAGGACAACATCACGGTAGTCTGCACAAAGTCTAAAAGTCATTTGATTATTGCAATTACAAATACAGGAATTTCTTATTAGTCCCACTTATCGTAGCGGCTTAATTGTCACGACTTCTCTAAAATCCTCGGTGTACCGATTGTACATGCGCATCAGGCACCGAAGTTGGCGCCTTGACCTTGAAATCCCTCAAACGCTTCCGATTGGCTCGTCCATAAATTAAAGTCTCGTCAGATTGTCAAATGTTGTATTCTGAAAGTTCACAGTTGAACGAATAAACGCTTTGATTTCAGAAAAATCATATCACCACAGAGATCGATTTTCAACATTTTTCAAAATTAGGGTTCATAGTTTTTTATAGTTCTATCATCAGTTATGACTGATTTGGGAAGTCAAAAACATATGAAAAAGTATCCTTAAGGTAAAAAAGCTTCACAATTGAATGAATCAGGATTTCTAAACTACATTGTTGACTGTTCATAAACTAAAATGATCAACAAAACAGATGCTTTTTTCTTTCCATAACAATTTTAAAACTGATAAAATCGATTTTGTATGAAACATACATGTTATTCAGCATGATTACTAGAAACTTTATTATTGAATTCAGCGAAAAAATATAAAGTATTTATACTAATATTTTGATGTAGGTAGTTTAATAACGGTTGGCGACTACTTATATATTGACTACCATCAATTGTATTCACTACACGAACTTGTAAATTAATGGAACTCATTACCCTGCGACTATAATTTATTCCAGTCTAATACTAACATTTGAGACTTAATCATTAAAAATATGTTAATCTGTAACTTACCGGAAACATGAAAAGTAGGATTTAAATAAGTTTGATTCATATCGTTCAACTTCACGATGTTGAACAGCCTGCTCTTCAAGTACAGTATCGAGTTCCACTGTCTTTTGGACAGCTGTAGTATATTCTTCCTGTGTAAATACAATGGAATTTTTATAGTTATGACAATAACAAAGAATAAACTATGGAATTTTCATTTGTGAATAAATATTTAATTCTAATTCATTATACATCGTGTAAAAGTATATTTGCTGTGGAAATGGATGGAATTTGTATGTAAATGGGTAGGATCCAACAGTCTTTTATAATTTCAGCTTGATGGTACAGCGTAAAATGTTTATCAGTCATTATTTTATGAGTTTCAAGTGTTTGGAGTTAGCTAACATGATATCTGTTGCAAACCGACAAGTGAATGACAGCCACCCTATCTAATATAGGATTTTACAAAATCCTCTTCGAAAGTTATAATGAAATTAGGAGCAGTGACTAGTGGAGTTCAACCAAGTCTGTTGTGAGATAGTAACTCACTGAAGATAATGGTAGATGGTTTCTTAATTTCGTGGATTGGTTGAAGTTAAAAATTAGCACTGTTGGATGCAGGATCAGCGGTCTAGAGGTTAAGCACCCACTTGTGAGACCGATAGGTTCTGGGTTTCAATCTCGCGTGATGGGATCGTGGATGCGCACTACTGAAGAGTCCCACAGTAAAACTAAACAGCCATTCAGTGCTTCCAGGTTTTCCATGGTGATCTAGCTTTAACTGACTAATGAATTCAATTATAAAATTATTAAAATCTCCACAAAACCCCTTCTGATAAAGTAGAATAACTAAAATCTATCGAAAATGATAACGAAAATGCAAGCATTTTTTAATTGCTTGTGTATTACATTAAACAGAGATTGTAGTGAGTAAATATAAACGTTTCTTTTGTTAATAGTGTATTGATGAAACTATTATTATTCAGCGATCGATTATTACAGGTTAATGAATGTGAATATATTCACTTTGTTTTCTAGAATAATCTCCAATAACAATTAAAATACATATATAATACCTTTCTAGATTACTTAAATTATTTTAAGCTTATTTCATAAAAAGAAAATAAGTCAAGTAATTCATTACAAAACATGAAAAATTTGTTTTAAAATAAATAGAAAAACGGTCAAATCAAATTATAAACACTTGACTATAATCTTGATTCTAATATTATGTTTGAAATCAAACTAAACATTAATGAAGAGTAGTTCCAATTGTAGTGATCAAGAACACAATTGGGGACAATCGGATGTAATTAAGCACAAATTACAGACTACCTCACTAAAATCTGACAACCATGCATAAATACTTAATTTGAAAACAACAATCAATTGTCTCAATATTAACTGTTCCTTCTGCAAATATCATTCCGTCTTCTCTGATTTCATTGTTGATGCATTGTCATACAGATTGCGCTTCATTCCTGTTATTTCCTTATCGATCTCCTGCCAAAGTACATTCCATCACCATATACTACTTATATGGATATAAGTAGACCATACCACACCTGGTAGTAACAACTCATTATAATTCTACACTCCTTTATAACTAGATTAATTTTATTGAGCTAAACAAATATTTTATTAAAATTCAAAGTTAAAGTATATTATAGTTTATATATTTGACAAAATGAATGAAATCTCATATTTCAAAATTGTCTATCTTTAAGAACATTAAAAGTATTTTTTATAAAATATTTTTACTAATATAAATGATCATTTCAATGATATTCATAAATGAGTTACATTTTCAGAATTGTTGTTACATGTCTATCATAATTAATTAGTTACTAAATACTTCTTCTACTTTTTTTATTCAAATAAAAAGAGTTACTAATCGATTGAAAAAAAAGATAAAATTAAAACAAATCAATAAATCATACTATTTACTTATGAATTATATATATACATACTTATTGCATTACCATGTGGTATGCACTTTATATATTTATATAAGTAAAACACATATTTGTTAGAAGAATCAGTTTTACTTTATCAATAAATTATGAATTAAAAGCAAAGATGGATAGTGGCGAGCAGTGGAATCCAAGACGCGCGTTTCGTCCTATTCGGGACTCGTCAGCTGAATGGACCTGCATCTCAGAGTAGATGTTCACCCTGGGATTCGTCCCAAGTAGGAAGAAATGCGCTTCCAGGATTCCATTGCTAGCCACTATCCATCACTGCTTATAATGCCTATGAATCGAGGCAATATCGAGGCAATACGCACAGTATGCACATATACCAATAAGAGACTGACCAATGTCCGTCCTAGACATCAATGGGAAGATTCAAACAAACAATACTAAGTGAATTAAAGAATTAGTTTAAGCTAATTGTTTAAAAGTAAAATAACAAAACTATAAAGAACTAATAAAGAAGAAAAAAAGTGAATATTCAACTAATTCCTTCTTTTTAATATTAACTTACCGGTGTACTTTTTGATCCAACCCAAAAGTGTATATCATAACCAAGTCCTCTACCTTTTGGATATATATTCAAAACAATATATGAATCTCCATTAAAGAAATGACCATAGTCATTTTCATTGACTGGTCTAATTTTGAATTTCTAAGGTTGAAATAGTAAAGAAATTAGTTATTGATGAGCTAGGTGAAATGAATAAAAAAATTTCATACAAATGTGTGTCATTGTACCATTGGTTGATCATTAAGCGGTAACCGGTAATATATTTGATTAGTCCTTTTTAGTGCTGATCGACTTCTATCGATTAGGTTTCAATGCTGACACTAGTCTTAGTAACTCAACGTAACTTGAACTATATTGAGATGTTAGGTGATTGTAAGTAGTCAATATAAAACCAAGGATTTGGGTTTTGTGCTATTTCAACATTCATCAGCAAGGTGATACAGGATCAGTGCCCTCTTGATTATAGGTACACCTTGCTGACGAGTGTCAAAATAAACTGAAACCTTGATTCACGGTTTCTAACCACCTTAAATGCAATACTCCGAATTAAATCATTCTCACATCTTTGATTTAGATTAGCGAACCTCCGTCATTAGTTAACTTACACTAGCAACCAAATTATTGTGAATTTACATGGGCAACCTAATATAACCATTTTATTGGTAGATTCGATCATAAAACAATTATTTCTGGGATGCTTTTCAGCAGTGAATTGAATTCGAATATCAAACTATGAACTTTTATACTCTGTCCAACTCCTTTGTGTTTCATTTTTAGATTGAATACCTAAAATAAAATTAATCTAATTAGATACTTACAATACTTCTTAAATTTAGAACTTATTTCTAATATACATTTTCTAAGAAAATACCAACAATAATTTTTCAATCAAATTATTTATCCAATCTGGTTAGAATCTGTTTCTTTTAGTTACTACCAAGTAATCAGTATCACAATGTATTCTATGACAACCAAATTCCTGCAACTGAAAGGCACGGCATGATTGCTAAAATAAACGTGCAATTTTGAAATCCATGCTGAATAATATATTTAAACATAGTCGATTGAAAAAACGCTTTTGTAATCTTCAAAGTATCAATATAAAACACCAACTTTACACATATATACAAATAATAACGACTAAATGTGGACTGTTATCATGAAATGAATTTGTTCGAAGCAATTTGTATCCTATTACATACTTTATTCGATCCCATCATTTAAGTCGCAGCAATCTTTTCAAAACATAAAGGATCTATATAGTTAATGAAAATTCCTTAGAAAGGAGCGGTATCTGAAGTAGGAATTATTTTTAAACACAAATAAAATTAAACAAATAAATGAAGATCAATATTAAATTAAAATATTATTTGCCAAACTATAACATACCTGAACTCTCCATACAAATAATCGTGGACAATGTGTATTTATAACTGGACACCAAGCTTCTTCTTGAAAGCAAGATTCCTCTACAAATAAATGAAGCAAAATAAAATAGTGTAAAATGAGTTCTTGTTTTATAAAATAAAAATGAAAGAACAAACGAATCAGTACCTACTGAGTTATGTAGTAGGCTAATGATAATCCGAATAAAAATAATTTCCTTTTTGACACTTCCATTTACTAGAGTTGTACAGTTGTATCTCTAATTGTTTTACACATGGTAGCCCGTAATAAAATAGAAAAAATTATTGTTTCATCAATAAAGATATCAGAAAATTTCAAGAGTTGAATATAACTTACAAAACAGTTAAAGGATAATGAGAAGTAGATAAAATAAAATTGACAAGTAGGAATATGTGACTGATAATTATCGACTTAGCCAATTTAAAGAAGATAAAGAAGGGATGAACAAGCGTCGAAAACAGCCTATAGGAATGGTAGGAGTGTTTAAACGATGGTAATATAGGCAATTATTAATGTTCTTTTCTGAATACAAAGATCGGGCATGTATTGATGAGTTTACAAAACCTTTTCTATAGATGAATTTCTTATTCAACTTCAATTAGAACCAGTTCGTTTGACGTTGTGGATAGTCTTAAACGAGGACTGTTATGTAAATAGATGACTAGAAATGACCAGATATTCAGCAATAGAATAATCGACTGATTCTCACTCATCTGTAGATGACCCTTCTGGATAGTGTTAGGATATATGTTTGGAAAGAACATGATTTTTACCTCACAGCATCAAATAAACCAGTAGATGAACAATAAGGTGGCCTAAAACAGCAGTTTATCGTTGACGCATCCTCAAATCAGATATCTACCGCAGACTACAATCCACAGCCCAGCTAACTAAGAAATCTTTCTCAACAATTTCGATAACCGGTTTTTCTGAGATCTCCACAGAAACTTATTCCATACTGCAAGGGTTCTTTCTAATTGAAGTGTTAGTTTAGGGTTACTGTTGATTAATCTGGTAGTAAAGCTATTTGTCATATGAATTTATTAGATTTTATTAGATTCTTTGCTGACTATATTTTAAACAGTCTTCTAGATCTACAGGTTAGATCACCTTAGTATTGGTTGCATGAATCTTCCCATTGATGTCTAGGATTACAATTGACCAGTCTCTTATTGACATATGTGAATCCTGTATGGATTGCCTCGATATTCCCTCAGGTCAAAAGCATTATAAACTGAGATGATGGTGACTAGAAGTGAAATCCAGGACACGATTGTCATCCTATTTTGGACTCATCTGGATGTGCCTCCATTTCAGAGTTGATGTCCTCTCTGGGACTCTGAGATGCAGGTACATTCGGATGACTAATCCCAAATAAGATGCAATTCGTGTCCTGGATTCCACTGTTAGCCGCCATTATCCTTACAGGTAAGAGAGTATAAAACTTTTCTCTTCCTTTTCAATAGAACCTAACTTTCGTAATTTATATATTGTTCATGCCAGGTTATTCTTCTATACATCGAATTTTGTCGAGAGCAGTCTGGTCTTCTATTCTGCAGAGTATCAAAAAAGCGGAACTCTGCATTTACCTGTGACTTCATTGTGGATGTAATCTTCTAGTAGCATTCACTGAATTTATGTGGGTTTCTAATGGGGTCTCTTTCTAGTAAGATCTTAGATGATGGTATCATCTATATATATCTTGTAGAAATGAAAACTGTTAATTGTTAACGAATAAATAAGTCAGCCAATAAACTGCTTTTCAAAACAAGATTCGGTAAAGAATCCATTGCAACGGCACTGATTCGTCTGTTGAACACTTTGTCACATCTAGATTGTACATACAGAATACATAACGATACTGATGTTGCTGTTTTCAAGATATATATGTATAGGAAACAAAAAATCTCTAAGAAAGAAGCATTTGTCAAGACTGGGGTGCAATCTTTGTTCATTCACTTTTGACCAGATACATTGATATCGGCTTCTGAAATGACGAAAGCAAATGGACCGAAGATCCTGTTTTCTGAGTTATTAAAGTGTCCCAACCCACTACTTGACAGTAGCATCGTAAGCAGAGTTATTTTTACACATAATAAATAATTTAATAGTTATGAATTCAAATTAGCATGAACCAAGTGGTAACTAATGTTATCTGTCCTGGTTCATGATGTAACCTACTTTCTATCAACAAAATATGTGGTGCAGTCATTTGACTAAAGGACTTGATAACACTATGTACTTGTGTTATGGTAGACAGATGTAAGCAATGAACAGGGATCGTCTGGCTTATGTTGGTTGCTAGTTCACACTAACCAATGTCCTTAAAAAACTAGAGTGTATTTATTTACTGTGAACCTTCAGTAAGGGGTAGATAACATTAGATAATATACTACTCAGTGGTCAAAATCTATAAGCAATTCAGTTCTTTAAATATTCAGTCAGTACCTAAATAAACCAGTGGCAACTTCGGTGAGTGTCGTACTAAGTGAGATGAGCTTGAACTCATAAGAAAAGCTTTTGTGTATTAATAATCCTTGGATATAAATACAAAGCTTCTTTATGATTCAATTCAGTTATCAAATGTTCATTTCTTGTCCTGATTTTTCGTTTTGTATACTTAATTGTATTTTGCACATAAAGTTTGATTTTCTGTTTACGATACGAAAGTCAATAGGTAAATGAATGGAAATAAGAACACTTAAAAAACTTTTGTTTCATTTAAATAATTGCCTAACATATCCCAAAAATATGTTTTAGTTACTCTTATTCTTTGCATGTGTACTCATGATTGCAGAATCTGCGTTGACAACAAAATTATGAATCCAGTTAGTTCAGTTTCAGATTTAAACATAGTTTTTTTCAAGTGTTCAGTATGACAAAATGGCCTTCCAGTGCTACTAGATTTTCAATGGTGGTCTGAAATTCATCGATTCATGATCTCAATTAAAAAATAAATTTAATAGTTAGATCTCATAACATTTATTTGAGCGGTAAATATTACTACTCTGTAATTTGGTGTATAACATTCAAGTGCCTGGCTTATAAGATTACAAACGGTAGTCAAATGTAAACAGTAATTGTTCATTGATTAAAGTAGACATTTTTTAATTAAAAGATCGTGTAATTAATTGAATCAAGACAATCCTTAGGTAGTATTAGATGGCTGGTAAATTGAATCCATGTATTTTTATTTCTTGACTCGATAATATAAAGTGGATATATTTCTATATGAGCAATTTATGTACACTCTAGTATTTGAAAATCTTACAGTCGAAAATAGAGGTAACACAAATAGGTTGGAATCATTTACAAATTCTCATTGTGATTTTATTTGAGAAACAGTTGCTCAAACTGTTATGGATGACTCATTATGATATCAAGAATGTAGTTGTATTTTTATAAAGACTACAAAAACATCAAGAGTAGTTTCAATTAGTTGTGTACTTCTTAACTCTGACTTTAAATCTTCCAAGTATTTGCGGATTTTCAGCTCAAATATTTGATCATATTGATAAAAGGTAACGAAGTATCATGATCTCTGATCTTATTTTGTTTAGGTAAAGTTTTAACAAACTCGGCTTTAGAGGAACAATACATTTACATACAGTTTACTTAATTTGGATTAGTTTTACAATAGTTGTTACGTTAACTCATTACAAACTACTTACTGAATATATGTAATGTGTGCACTATCTTTCTTACAAATGTCACTCATTATTTAATTAGAGTTTATTAGGTATGAATAGTATTGGGAAAGGAGATAAGCATAATAAACATTCGTTACAAATAATGAAGGATAGTCTTACCAGTTAGTTAAATGACGAACTATTATAAGCCTTACAACTTTATTTTGTTTAGATCAGGTAATAACAAAATTTATACTTAATAATTGGTCACTGTCAGTTTATTAATTTTTATACATTTTGAACTTAAGTAGCAGAAACTAGTTGGGTTGAAGTTTACTCAGATAAAAAAATAAGCTTCAACTGTTGAACTAACTATAGTTACTCAAGGCAAATAGTCACCATACTAATGGTTAATGATCACAAACATTCTGACATATTACTTGATGTTAAAGGTAAAATATTTACATTTCTCCTACAGATATAAACTTTTTATTTCATCCAAACGGAGGTTTTACAAGTCTTGACTTAAATATCTTTTAGAATAGTCGCTTATTACAACTGAAGTGCTATTTAGGTTAAAACTCATACTGATTTAAATAAAAGTAAATAACCAGCGATGTAAGATGCCTGTATCAATCACTTTTAGACTCTTGGATTACTAAATGGGTATTGTTAATGATGAATTATTGTTCTTGAACAAAACCGTTCAAGTTATGTACTTGAGTTCTATTTGTATATAGATAATTAAGAAATTGTTGTGAACAGAACACGACTCGTTGGGGACAATCGAATGTATTTAAGCAAAGATTACAGACTAACTCAATAAATTCTGATTACCAAACAATGAACAGTCAATTTGCAAATTAACAACCAATTGTTTCAATCTTCACTGTTTCTTCTCTTATTCCATTGCTCATGCATTTTCCAAACGATTGCGCTTCGTTTCAGTTCTTTGCTCATCGGTCTTCTGCCAAAATACATTCAATGTCTGACCCACACCATATACTACTTATATGGATATAAGTAGACCACACCACAAAATGAGTTACTATGTGAAGGGTTATAGTGCAGTTATTTTGCAAATATTAGTGGACTTAATAAAGGTGACACATTAGCGGAAATAAAAAACTTCACCGGTACTTCATTTAGATTACCTCCGCTTCATTTTTGCTATCTCCCAGGCTCTACACTCTTAAAAATGATGTGTAAACAGTCTAGAAAACCTATGCAACCGACAATATTAGCCAATTTATTGTGCTTAGTAGTTCCACAATTCATGTTAACTATGACATTGTTAAACTATCCAATCATTTATAGTGAATAGACTGAAACACAATAATTTATTCTATCCTGTCTCATAACTATGATTAATCATTAAAATAAACAAATAGTTATAATTTAACTGAATTCATTATGTAACGTATAAGAACTTT